TCAGCATTAGTTTCTGTACAGTTATTCGTTTTATTCGATGTTCCGGTGATAAATCGTATGATCCGGAAGCGAAAATTCAAAATGGAGAAGCTCAAAAATCCAGAAAACTTTGGTATTTGTCACATATCGCAATGTTGTAGTTTATACGTTGGTTGTTACTACTAGTTTGCTTTAATTTCGGTTTCGAAGGACACTCATTTTGACATTTACGTGCACCATCGACGTTTCAGCTAATTACCCATTCATAACTTTTACTTATCAGTGAAATTTTTTGTGAGAATATGTGAGAACCTTTTGTTACTTGGGAGTAGGCGACCATTTAAATGTATTTAAACACATGAATGTGAAATAAATTCGACATTAACGACGAGCACGACGTACAAGGAATAGCCGATGAGGAAAGTGAAACTCAACGAATGCCCGTTTAACGGATCACCGTCAAGATTATGTTAAATAGTCTGAACACAATTTTTTTTTATCGGTGTTAATCTGAGCTGGTTTCGTAAATTTGTATTATTCGACAAATTGCTTACATGAACGAGAAAACTGTATAAAATTAAATCGTCACATTTTGTTACAACGAATCAGACGTGAATTAAGTAACGCAGGCACTTTCGCTGTGGTCCCGCAATCGATCGTCGACGACCAAAGTGTTCGGGTTCAGCTTCACTTCAAATAGATTTTTGTGAATCCACTCGATACAAAACAGTTCGCTTTGGGTGATGTGGTCGTACATTTGGGTGTATTTTTCTTTGGTAACTCCAGGGGTACCTTGTACTGGGAGTGAGGTGGCTTTTTCGAACATTCCGATGAAGTCTAACGGTTCCGCGACGACACTCACGTCATGTTTGGCGCAATTTTCGGTTTGCGTTTTTATGGTTCTATACTTGATCTCAGTACTTTGGGCACCGCTGTTTCTTTTGCAAAGATGTTGCCTGGTCCTCGATAGAAGGGTGCTTCGGGGTACACAGGTGTATCTTTCGTCTGTGGCCTGAGTAGGCGCATCCACGTATCTTTTCTGTCTTTGTTCCGTCATGAAATTCTTTAGGGCAGGCATGTTTATATTCGTAGAAGTCGAAGGCAACATTTTCGGACATCTGTCTTTCATTTCGATCGCCCTGGCCGGCGAAAAATACAGTTGCTGCATCTCTTGTGGCTGTCCTCTGCGAATGTCATCTATTTCGAAAGATCCTTTTCTCTTTTCTAAGGCGCTCATGTCGGTGTAGTTGACGAATCTCTGCTCAATTTCCTTGTGGATTACAATTTCACAGTCTTCATTCAGTTCAGAAATGGTTTTCTTGGTTTTCTGCATCTTTATTGTGTTTTTGTCGTTCGGTCCATTGTAACTACTAGAATTTTTGACTGCCTGCCAAAAAAACGTCAACTGCATCAGTTGTTTGACATTCAGATTGTTTTGTCGTGTTCTGGAAAGAGAAGTGTTCGTGCGATGGAATTTGATGGATCGTGGGAGAGCGAGATTTAGGGTCTTTGAAATATCACGGATATGTTATTATGCGCATATTTTTGGTCTCCAGTTATAATCACGATTTAGCTTGCTGGGCGCTATGGAAGCTTCCTTTCGGGCTTTGTTTGCCTAAATCATGCAACTGGAAGGGAGCAAAATTTTAGAACTTATATAAAAGCAAAGTGTCAAATTTTCTTATAAATAGAGTTTTACGCTTGAGCCTCATAAGCATTAGTTCTTGTTGTCAATTGTCCTTGCCGACTTATTTATTTTTTGTTATAAGCTTTGTTATAAGTTGTGTATGCTATTATACCGAAAAGAAATTATCGACAATACTGCCGATCTATTACGAGGCTGATGTGACTTTTGATTGTTTGCCTTTTCGTTGTGCTCCTTTGTTTCGCTATACTTCAATAGGATCGATCAAAATTAAACCGTTTGAGATGTTTTACACTTCGTTCAGTATAAAGAGGTCTGCTTAAATAAATGCTGACAGTTAGTGAAGTAAAAGTGGTGATTTTAATACAGCTTCGGTTTTTGAATGGAAGTAAAAAGCTTTTTACTCAATCCAATACCGTGGTGGTGCGAAAAGCGTGCTCTGGGGTAACAGATCGAATATGTAAATGAAACTGAATTATGCTGAATTTATGCGGAGATTTCCAAGTGTTTGCTTAAAGTTTTGTAATATATTCGATGTTAAAAGGGTCTTCGTACTATGTCAATGTGATATGAATAATAAGTGTAGCAAATCTAATTCGAGTGCATTTGCGGCGAACTATGAAGAGTTTTAATTATATATTTCAGTAGTACGTGGGACACTATAATTTTATTGAAATAACAATTCAGTGTGTTAATTTTGCATTTCGTCTTACAAGGATTTGATAAATGTGTTGTGTCTTCTTTTACATACAATAAGAGAACTGTGAGGGCGAATTTTATGAGAAATGCGTTTATTTTGGCAGTACGTTAAAAATTAGCAGTCGTTATAAAACGTTGGCTTAGAAATTTTAATAAACCTGTGTTTTCTGTAAATATGTGCGTTACCTAAACCACAACTTTTTAAAAGGCAGGCTCCAAGTTATGCTGTGGCGAAAACTAAAAGAACGAATTTTATTTATAAATCTGTTGTCGAAGTTGCCGCGATGGCACAAATTTAATAAGGCACAAGGTCGACACTCGGTAAAAATATGAAAATGAATTTAAAAATGCGTGCCAACAGGAAGTACGGCGTTTAAATCAACCGACAAGAAAAACCCAATTATGCTGTGGCTGGAAAGCTCAATGTCAATTTAGACAGTCGAATCTAAATTTAGTGCTTCAGTTTTCCTTTATAGATCGTGCGAGAATATCATAAATCTATCGATGTGACGATCTGCTTTCAATTTGTTGATGTGAATCTTGTTTTAGTACATTTTCATCGAAACGTCTATTTTTAGATTAACAGAAAAAAATGTTGCTTGATGGTTTTTCTAAGTCAAGTTGCTGAGGCTGTTGTAACGCAACTAAATTTAATTTTGATATTTAATTTTTTGTCCCATGTTCGTATGTTATGTGTTGGCGATTTTATTAGATAGATAACCCTTAAAAAAAACAAGCCGACTATTGTGAAGGTGGTAGAGTGCTAATCAACATTTGGCTACTCATCCCCGAATTTGTATTGTATCGAAATTTCGTTAAATAAGTCTCAGTTGTAGTGTGTGGTGCGGAATCTCTTTTGTTTGTGATTTGATAATTTATTTCTATTTTTAACTTTGTGTACAAGATATTCTAAAAAATAAAGATTGTACAATCGAGTATGGTTTTTTTGCCCGTCAAACACTGCGGCCAATTATTACTGGAAGTTTTGTTAAAATAGTGACGTTGATTTGATGATGATCGAATAAAAAAAAAGGATTCTTGAGTTTTTTATCGATTGCCGCTTACAGAAACAGTTGATTAAATTTTTCTGAAATCTCGGAACGCAATATTTTCATGATGGCACACATCAAAATTAGAAAGTTGACCTCGTATTAAAACTATTAAATAAATTTGTATTTGAGTCAGTTGTACATCAAATCTGAAGGAAGTTTGGTGCTATTAAGTTTCCGCCTTTTTCAAGTCCTGGTATAAACGCACTTTAATTACCATCTGTTGATTTTCTTTTTAAAACCAGCGTTATTTTTATGTTCTGGTATGTTTATTTGCACCAGGGCACCATTAAACTTGTATAACGCACACATTCTTTACTATCTTGATTACTTTTCGTCGTGTTAATCCATGTATATCGTTCCGAAGAATAAAAAAAAATACTTTGATGAAGTTATTTTACTACAGATAAGTATATTGACGACGTTAGTACTACCATGCGGCTTTTCCTCATTCATTGAATGTTCGCTAATATATTAATGTAAAATCACTGGAATTTAATGCAGGTCTACTTGTTGTACATTGTTTGAATATTCTTTATTAATAATTTTATATGATCGTAAAGTGAAGTTATGACCTCGTAAAGTTTTACAACTGAGAATTTAGGGGCTTTCCTAAATATAAATGACAGTATCGTTTTTCGATTGGATCACAATTGCTTGTAAGGGCCGATACACACACAAAAAGAACGACTTTTATCGTATCGTTTTACGGACCTTTTCCTTTAAGAACCGTGACATAAGTCGCGGATGGAATTACAGGAGGTTCTTTTTGACATGAAATCATGAAACTTTCAACAACATTCCTACCACGCAGGAGAAGTAATGTGTACGGGTGTTTCCATTTTTAAAATACGACAGCGCAGAAATTTATTGCTTATAAATAGCTAGAAATTGTAGAAAGTCGTCGAACATTTTGCCAACATTTGTCTCAAGTCGTCGTAATGCCTAAATATGAATACTAACTTTCTATAAATAAAGATTATCTTTGAGTTTGTTTAAAAAATTGCAATATTTAACAAAGAATAGTTTTTCACATGTTAAAGTAATATTTTTATGATAAATAAAAACTGTTTATCTTTTCAAACTTCTCAGGCACCACGCCATTTTCAAATTCGTAACGATACAATCGTTACAGAAATAGTTTTCGAATGCGAGCATATGTTGCAGTCTTAAAAAATCCCCATGCTTTTCTATAAAATTAAATATTTCATTGAATTTAAATTCGATTTAAAAATAACCACTTCGGGTGCGGAAAATATAGAGTAATGGTGAGTGCCGAAACGCGAGCAAGAGTAAAATGAGTTTTAACCTTTTTTTCACGCCCCTGATTAAATAAAACCACATGAAAAACTCGAAGCAAACCCCGTAAAAGTGGAAGCTAAAATGTAGTCAGATTACAGCTTAATTAAAAAAGTTATAAAGGGCCTAAATTGTACGAATCAGTCCATGTAGCACACCCTCTGTGCCATCCTCTTCGGGCATCGCTTTCTTGTGTAAACACTACTCGCCCGTGTTATTGACATTGCTGATTGCCGCCTCAGTCTCTGGCAATGAGATTCAATTACATGAATAATTCGATTACTTAATTGTACGTCAGACTAATGTGAAATTTCTTTTTTTCATTGCAGGGCGCAGCGACAATGAAGGCGAAGTGAGAGGAGGCCGGAGCAGGAATACGCGGCGAGACGATCCTCGAAGGCATACCCTTGGAGCCGAGCAACAGTACCTAGCTATGGCAGGCCAAGGAGGACCTTTATCCCGTACAATGGATCTAGAGGTAATAACGCGCGGGCACGCCCTTGATATGTATGCATGGAATCGGAACGATTTCCATATAAAAGTATTCCCTATCCTCTATCCATTGATAAATCGGATTGCGAGAGCTTTTGACGAATTTGAGAAATTCACCGCAGCAATTTTCGGTTTGTTTGTAATCGACAAATTTGCAAGTCGCTACGTAGATTTGGGTGAAGCAGAACGACACGGCGCAGTTGGTAGGATGAGGAAGTAAGAAGGTGGTGCGAGTGCAATTAAGGTGTCAGAAAAGGAATTGTTTATTCGTAATTACTGAAAGTATCGGACAACAAATGACGCCTTACTGCTGCAAGTGATGTTGTTAACCATTCGATATTTGTCATTTCGCTGCTTTAGTCGGACGTGCCAACAATTTCACCTGAAGACCATTACGTCGGAGTCTCTATTTCAAAACTACTAACGGTGGAGCAACGTCTTTCTTCGCAATTTCCATTTCTGTCTTGTCGCTTTTGGAAAACAAGAATAAACAAAACTTTAAAAACGTTTCGAGTCGAGAAAGTTCCATCGAGCATGAAGCGAATGCAGTTTCTGCACTCCTCTCCTTCCATCCCTCCCGCTTCGCATTTCAGCGTTGTTTCTGGAAACAGGATATATGTTCTTGCATAATAGGAAAACGCTCTACATTTATTAAAATGGAATGACATCACCCCGTCAATTAATGGCTAGGCTAGTAGTTGTCCCCGTCGTGTGTTTTAATTAATTCAGTCGATATTCCGCCGGATTCACGTGATGAACGCGACGGCAACCCAATTCTCTCCTTTCGAGAAGAAGTAATAATGTCTAGTCAGAGCATCGTATCTTTACCACCCCAATTGGAGATGACGCCTCGATCGATACCCCTGCTGAAGAAACACGATAGGATCACAACGACGACAACTGATACGGATAAGGACGGTGTTGTTTCACGTGGTGTGCTTCATAAGTTATCAGAAACTTCCTTTCCGGTTAGTCCCGATACTCCTGTTAATGTGAGAATTTTTTTACACGCCGCCAAACAGATGAGTTCCACGAGACCCAGAAAGGTAAATTAGTTCTGTCGGTGAATTTTTGTGTGTTTTGTTGTCACTTTCGGTGAAAATGTGCGGTGATTCTAGGGACAACCTAGGGGATATCCACCACCTTCGAATGCGATGCTGTTCGACGACGATCCGGGAATTATGTCGGAAGTAGAAACTAGTTCGACGGGCTTCCGTAGAGGTGGTAAACAGCGGAGTTCACTTCCTGTAGTACGAACGCCAAGTAAAACGTTAGAAAGACCACTAGGTGAGAACATGAGGTTTATAAAATCCGTTTATTAATTATTAATCTGAACGCATCATCATCGCTGAAACTACGTCGAAATCTTGTTAAAATTCGAAATTAGATTTACATTAGGGACTACGTTGTGCTTTCCTTGTATGTGCAGCATAAATTTAAAAAAAAAAAAAAAACAACAACTAAACCGTTCTTTGTTCCAAGTAAGGCAAAAGTTCTCACATAAATTTTTACTATCGTTAGTGAAAGTCAGACGTGCCGCATTTTACATGAAAAATTAAAAATTTAATTATGAACATTTTTCGAATGCAACCACTCGCCTCCAAATTTGAGACGTGTTTTCATACAAAAATCAAACAATGCAATAAAGCGGAATAAATTTTGCGCTTTGTTTTGTAGTGTATCTTTTTTTTTTGGCACTCGTTTACATTAATTTTGTTGTCAGACCGACCTTTCCTCTCGTACTGACATGCGGAGGTTGAGGTCCGGACCTCACATCTTTCTCGAAGTAGATAGAGAAAATTCGATTTGCTCCAACATATTTATATGGTTGCAATTTCCATTCTTTTGCAGGTTTAGTATTCCTCCAGTACCGCAACGAAACGAAACGAGCCCTACTTCCGAACGAGATAACGTCGATAGATACGGTGAAAGCCCTTTTCGTTCGATCGTTTCCTAAACAGTTAACGATGGAATATCTCGATTCGCCCAACGTCAAGATATACATTCATGATTCATCGAAAGATATGTTTTACGAGTTGGAAGATCTGAGGTGATTGGAGAGAAATTGATTTTGTAATTGAAGCGAAAAAAATTGAAAGCTTTGTTCGTAGGTCGCATTTGCGGGAGATTCGGGATCGCTCTGTGCTGCGGCTCTTCGAATCCGCGGATGTTTCCGGAGGCTTACCTATGGCGGGGATCGGAATTGCAGGTGGTGTTGGACATTTTGAGGATCCCAGTTATTTTTCAGAGCCAGAATTCGATTCGGAGTACCAGCATCAGCACATCCACAAAAGTAAGGTGAGTCGTAAATTTTACGTTACGGACCTAAATACTCGCGGGATTGTTCATTTCAGTTTGATTTATTAATATTATGTTAAGTTACAAAAATATAAATACTAAGAAAAATCTAACAAAATAGGAGAGAGTGTTAAAAAAATAACAATATCCTCAGACAGGCAGTCTGGAGCTCGATGACGATGAAGAGATGACGTGACATATGTACAAAGTCGACGAATGAAATTGAACAAAAACAAACTTAAAAAGCTTTGCACTGTGGCGCTGCAGGCGTGTAGAAGGCACCCGAATATAGTTTCTTCGGAACGTTCCTCCAGCCGAAAACGAGCGCTTTTTCGAAGGGTTCTTCGTCGCACCCACTGCACACGTTCATCACCGCTTTCACTTCGGCTTCGGCGGGTTCTCTCTCGTCGTTTTGTTTTTGTTCTTGCAAAATTGGTTTGTTCTCTCCGATTCCAGCTAATCCGTCTAAGAAGCTCTGGTCGATACCCGACGTGAAGCCTTCCTCGATAATGGTACCCCCACTTAAATACAATTCTCGTTTCTTATGTTTGTTCTCTTTCTGATCGTTATCCTCAGATCCGGCTTGGCGTTTCGTTTTCTTGACTATTTTATCGCCGAATTTCAATTCTCCTTCGTTTTTCTCGTCGTTCTGTCGCTTGAATAACTGGTGAGTCTCGATCTGAGGGGTGTCGATGAATTGGACATTAGCCGGATTGACGAGGGAGGGGTGGACTAAACCGCTGTTGATTAACGGTGTACCTATTTGTTGGACGGGAGGTTGAGGGGTGAGGAATTGGAGTTGTTGAGTTTGAGGATTTTGAGGTAGTCTTCCTTGGGACAGCTGCTGGCTGACTAAATTGCTTACGAATTGTCCGTTGAGGAGTTGCGCATTGTAGTTTTGCCCAGGAATTAGTTGAGGTTGCGGCTGAGGCTGTCCACCAGCAAAGTTGAGCATAAGCATCGGGTTGATCTGGCCTCCCGTGAGTAACGGGTGGGTGGGGAGGGCATTTCTTGGTCGTGGGGTTTGAGGAGGTGGCGTCGTGATTTGATTACCATCATGGTCGTACTGGTGAGCATGATGGTGCTTATGGTCTCTATGGGCTTTCCCGGCTGTCAGAGCGACACTGTACAATTGCAACATTGTGATTTCGCCAAGCATTCCTCCAGAACCTAAGACGAAGAAGTTATTCTCTGTGAGGAAACTGTGCGAGCATTACCTTTCGGTGCATCTTTACCCTCGAGGAAGCCTCCGCCGACTTGGGTTTGTGCCTGTCCGGTTATGGCTAGTCCTCCGGATGGAATTATGTGCCCTACCAACTAATTTTTTTTGTAATTTTGATTAAAACAAAGTCAAATAGGTTTACCCTGTTGTGGAAGCCACGGCCCACTCGTTCAGCGTTTACCCAGATTTGCCACTCTCCAGTTTTGCCGTTCCAGCTCTGGCAAGTGTGGTACCACTTATTGAGTCGCAAGGGATAGTTAAGTCTATAGAAGGTGTGTCCTTCGATTGCTAAACTAAAGTAACTGGACCGTTCCGTATTCGAAATCCATGACACTATCGCCTTAGGCTGACCATCGACTGCAAAAGCAAACCATAATGAGTTGCGTGCTATCTTAATTCATCTCATTCCAAACCATTTAGCACAGAATCTCGAGGTAACGACCGGATATGGGTGAAATTTTCTTAATTAGCACTTTTGTTTCCGGAAAAGTACGAACTGCATAAAGTGTGCCAGTATCAGTGATAATTTTGAGTAATTCATTTTTAATCTTTTGGAGAAATCATAATCGACATTTCGAATGATTTTGATCTTCCAGTTCTAGATTATTAATAAGAACGAATAAAGACAAATTTTAATGTTATTTTTCATAACTTTTTCTGAAGCGGCCACTTAAAAATTTGTAGTTATTGCGAATTGTCTTACGTGAAATTAATTTGATTAAGTTGAGACATAGGAACCCGATACATACTTTCAGAGATTTCCTAATTATTTAAAAACACTAGAATTTTTAAACCCGTAAATATACGTAATACATCCGTTCCAAGGTTGGTTTGGTGATTTTGCAACTACCGTTTTAGATAGTGTTTAAAAAACAATCTGCACACTTACCCGCATAGGAAAATATGGGATGATCGTTGCTATGATTTGCGAACTTGCTCCAGAAACATAACGTGAACTCTTTCATTTCGGGTATGTGCGTTTTGTATTGAATATATTGAAAGTAGAGGTCCTGCACGAACCCGACTTTATACAGTCCGCATTGATCATTCGAAGGGTTGTGTAGAGAAGGTCCTGATTGGTGGATAGTGTGTGTCACGTATCCTGCAGGATGTGATGTATGGATAGTTTTGACTCCTCCATCGTAAAGGTCCGAATGAAGGACGGGTTGCCAATTCTCGATGTGGTGGACTGCTTCCGTCGACAAAATCAACAAGATCGAACAGTAATAGAATTTCAACATTTTCAGTGCTGATGAGGTGTTCTTTGATGGATTGCTAGTTAATTGAAAATGGAGTACATCCTGAAATTAATGGTCGGGTTGTGTGAAACGGTTAAAATTGAGAAATTGAGGCAGCGGTTGGTCCACAAACAAAAGTTTAAGTTTTTTTTTTCGTGACACATGTTTCCAGTCGTAGAAGTTTACGATAGTAAAATTGAGTTTTGACTCTTCATCACGACACAGATAAGAATTCTTTTCAAGTAATGAAGAAAAAAATATGATACTGAATAGCCAATAAGTCTTTGATACGGAAAGCTTGTAAAGTTTTCATAGTTCGCGTAAGAGACGATAAAAACTTAGTTCCGAGTTTGTCACAAAAGAATTATTTTCACGTAATTGGCGCGGCGCAACTTACGTATGGCGCCTGAAAAACAATCACAGAGCAAACATTTTTTCTTGCACAGTTTTTAGTTTTTATCAGTGTTATGTACTACGTATTACGCAGAATTACACAATGAGCAATAACAACTAATCGATATTTTCCAGAAGTAGCGCGTATCAAAAAACTACACGCGAACCTAAAATGGGTGAATGCTTTCTTTAATTCACTCAATCTGCATACCATATATACTTTCATTTTTACATGTGATTGTGCTCTAAAACACCTGCTGCTGCCATAAATACGAACCGACCGTATAAATTACAGTTTCAAGTCTGTCCACACCATGCACCAGAGTAAAAGTGCTTTGCAGTTTTTAAAATTACGGTTTCCCTCGAAATATCTATGGTTAATTAATTATTCGTACCGTGATCTAGTTTCCAGCGACGTCAAGTGGTGTGGAAAGAAACGTTTTGGTCAAAAAATCTGCGCTCGTCTTGAAATACACAACAAGAAAATTAACAAAATCTCAACGATCGTCCTGTAAATGCGCTAAATTTTCCACTAAAACATTGATGTGTAAACATTTTAATGGGCGTGAGAGGAAGCGCTTCGAATGAAACGTAAGAAAGTGAATGAGAATGCTTTTCATTTTAGATGATGAGTGGTGTTTGCATAACGGATCATTCTTACCAAGCTGTTTTGACTCTTTTCATTGTCAAGGCGTCTGATTTTCTTTGCTCTGGAGTATTTCGTAATTATGATCTTGTCACTTTCTCTATAGTTTTTGTAGAGAAAAAAGTGACTTCATTACAGTGAATTCCTTGTCATTAGTTTTTTTTTATTGTGATGGCTTGTGGTTTTGTGGAATAAATGCAATTTCAGTTTAATGGTCAGAACAACCTTGAAATTGTTAAAGAAATACCGGCTTTGCATAATTATAGTTTTTCATTGTACTAATTGATGCAGTGCAAGTTAAAAAAAAGTTGTGTTTTTAATTGTCAATGAAAACCGTTTTTAACGCGTGATGCAGAATATGCAGTCGTGATGCAATTCTCGTTACGTTATGAGAGCACTGTGTCAACTCAAGCAGTTCGTGTAAATGCGCTCATCTATTGTTTTCCACAGTTAAGATTTTAGCTCTTTCGACATTAGTCTGTGTACTAATCTTTTATTAACATCGTTGTTGCAGAAACAAGTCTCTCATTTTTTCTCGTCACATTTTCTTTCAAAATTTCGTTTATGTAAGGAATCGAACGCCTGAGAAAATACTTTTTTCCACGAGAAAATACCAAGGTGAATTAAGTGCTTATTAGCGGCGACTTTTTTCCTTCCGCTGAATCAAGTTTACCAAGTTTACACAATACACTTCAAATTGTATGCTACTTTCTATAGGCATGCGATAATTAGTGCGAATGTACAAAAAAAAAATTTATGTAACGAGAAATACAGCCGTAGGCATATTAGCTTAAGCTTAACGAGTTTACACACTTTTTTTTTTAGTCCACGTGATGGAAAGGCGGAAAACTTTAAAGAAAAATGGAAATTTGTAATCGAAGTCAGGGTTATTTCCGATATTACTGACTCACTTTGGAGATCTGCTCGTGAAATTGTGGGAGCATTATTTTCACCGTGTTTCTCTTTTTTAATTTATATTGATGTAATTTACACGTTTGCGTAATACATAATTGGCTATTATTACTAGTTCGGAAATGTTTCTCGGTTGTGGGTCCACCGGAAAAGGAAATTGTAATTTTTATACCCTTAAAATGATCTAAAAGACAGATAAAATTTTATTACCTATGTATTTATGCATGTTAAATTCATAGTACAAAATCTTTATTGAGTTATCATCAAAAAATATAGAAAACTTCTATTTATTATTAATTATGTTCGTATCCATCCACGTGGATAAAGTAAAAAGAGATGGGGGGAAATCGGACTTTATAAATACAATTTTTACAATATTGCCGACGTTTCGGTCATCTAGCGTTATCCTTTATCAAGACTATTGTACAATTTAAATTTTGTCACTATTAAATTTTAACAAATAGAAAATAAAAAACAAGATATACTGTAAATTTTAGCAATGTGATTCAAACCGTTTTTCAAATAAATTTTCTTAACAGAATTGAGAATTGTTGTTCTCTGTTCTCAACATTATGGCGTTGTCAATATATTTCTAAACACAAAAATTGTGAAAATTACAGAAATAACGCAAATGTTCACAGTTTGTATTCTTTTTCAACAGGACGTATTAAACGCTAAGTTGTAGTATCGCTACTACATATTAAAAAATTGATCATGCTATTACTTTGATAATGTTTAATTATTACACATTTTTTTTGTAGGTACGAAAAAAAACTTTTGCTATTATCAGTAAAAATCAAATAAAGCGTTAATAGTTTGTGTAAACAAACTTGTCTATTTGTAATAAGTCGATAAAAATGATTTATTATTATTATTATTATAAAAACAGACATGATTAAATTAGCATTCTAGATTTACGTCTTTCATTTTTGACCCTTACTGCAATTCCGACTTGAAATAGATGATGTCATAATTTTTTGATAGAGATAAACATCATAATTTTTGTGTATATTCTGGATTAAAATAAAACTTGTGTAAAGATTAAAAAAAAAATGTAGTACCGAAACACGAGAATCATTACATTTCATATCATATTTTCAATCAAGATTTATTCAATGAGTTTTTGAAGGGACGTCTTGCAACTTTCCGGAGAAATTCTGTAACCCCTGATCAATGTTAGCGTCTTGCAGTATTTCAAAGAAATTTGTTCGAAGTTTCTAATATAAATTGTAAAATTTACTCCAACAATTTTTTGAGGTGATGTCAGCAATGTGTTATTGTGGATCAGTCGAAAGCGAGTGTTTTTCAAAGTTTTTCGTTAGCCATTTAATCCTGCTTCCGTTCAACTCGAATTATCATCGCGTACATTCTTCATCCGTAAAAAAAGTAATTAATTTATTATTGTTTAAACCGCCCGTTCAGCCAGTTGAACTTAATTATGTACTCCCTTTAATAAAAAGTTTTTTTCATTTTGTTTGTGGTGCAATTGAGTGCACTCGAACCTAATAAACCCTTTGTAATTTTTTCTTTTACAAACTAATCGCATTAGTGAAAAGTCCGAATAAACACGGACCGCAATTACCAACAAAAATGAATTCTTACAAAGAAGAATTTGTTTTAACTTTGTACTCACATCCAACTAAAACACATTCAACACGCAAAGCACAAGCGAAGCACGACTGACCGCACTGGAGAAACGTTCTTCGACAACTAGAGGACTATATGGAGATAGTCTCCGGTTTCACTTAAGTCGCGTGTCATGACCAATTCCTTATTACATTTGCTTCTGCATCCGAAGAAGTGGTGGGGTTAATATCACTTTCCCTTCGACGGAGTTAACTTTTCGCTCGCCTAGTGTCTTCAGCTCATGCTAAAGTACCTCAAGGGTTGCTCTTGAGTCCGTTCCTCGATTAGGAGATCTTGAATGATGATGGTGTGCAAAAAGTCTCCGTAAACATTTGTATTATTTTAATGCTTTAATAGTATCCATTTAGCATGTGTTACGTAATAGTTAAAAGCACTTTCATTGTGTGATTTCAAACCAGTTATCTGGACAAGATAGCCATTATTTATCGAATTCGTTACTTTCATTTTCATGCTTAACGTTCGTTCGGTTTGGGAGTAAAGCACTGAGTCACGAAACAACTATTTGCAGAGTGCAATTTTTATTGTAAAAGTAATGAAGTATATATTTCGTTCTTTCTTATCCATTTAATTCCTCAACGACAATTTATTGACACTATTTTAGATAAATACGTTTTATCATTCGTCTTGTCTAACATCCATCTGATGGAGACGCATCGATCGACGCGCACATGAGGGTCGACCCCTTGACCTTCTCAAATTGATACACTTGACACTGTAAGCCACCATTTTTCTACTAGCGTAGTTCAAGAGGTAAAAAATTAGATTTAAATAGTTGGCTGTTTTTACTGATGCTGTGCGTACAGAACACTCACAGAGTTGTTAAATCGATTAAAGTCGTGTCGGTCCAATAAATCGAAGATGAAATTATAGACTGAAACGCGAATTTGTATTGATTTTACCAGGATAAACCAATTATCTGTAATGGGCGGCGATTGCTAGTCGATTGGCTTAAAATGTTGTGCGACTGGGATGGTTTTACATGAAGGTGGACTAATTGGGCGGAAATAACACGTTCAGGATAACATTAGAACTAAAAATAATAAAACACAATGTTTCCCATTCAGATTTTTGAAGTTTCCGTGTTGTTTCGTTTAACGAACTCGTAAGACGGTCGTAATGAATGAAGTGCCATTTGCAAATATAATATATCTAAAAAAACATAATGTTTAAATTTAAAGATTCTAATAATAACATCACGATATTGTCCAAAATGGTTAAGTTTTCTCTTTTTGAAGAAAGTACATATTTATAGTTCATAAATATACGCTTATTTTCATAAATTAGAGATTGGTGCAATTTAAATAACAATTTTTAATTTCGTTAACAAACGCGTACGAAACTTCGCATGCAACATTAAAAATATACTTGATAACAAATTTCGCGCATTGCCAAAACACGACAAGGTGAATGAACATTTCGTATTTATTAAGTCATTTTCCAATGGTTGGTTCTGATTTGTACTTATATAAAAAGAGCAAACAATTTTTTGTGTGAAACACTGACAATGACGTTTTGTTGTTAAAGAAAGTGTTAATTTTTTTAAGTAGTGGTGCGTCCATTGTTTTTAACAATGAATGACATTTATCGGTTCTGTCGAACTATGAGAAATGCGCAATAAGATGAATAAAACAGTGAAATAATTTAAAATTACGTAAAGTGCGTTCGATTTGCAAAAACTTAAAACTTGAGTAATTTACTGCAAATAATTAGTCTAATTGATTATGCAATGTTGTTTGATAGGAAGTTAGTCCAACTTGGCAATAACATTGAAAGGAATTTGTTCAAAAACGCTTACTATGAAGTAACACGTCCTAAATTTCCTAAATAAAGAAAAGTTGCACGGAACGTGTCATTAATACTATTCAGGACGATAACACAGTTATATGTTCTTCTAGTCCACATCGGTGTGGGAATTGCATTGTGAAATTTGAATAATAAACGTTAACTATCGATAAATTCTTGATTTCCTGTTTTTAAATAGATATAATGGGTGATTAACCAAGAAATCAATCAGGTTTCTGCAATACACCGTGGCGGTTTGGATTTAAAATTATATATTTGTAAAATTGATTTGTTGTAATTTAACTTTTGCGATGAACCATTACAATGTTTTTCGATCAATCGGTATTATTATTTACTGTTAATATTGTGTAGTTGAATATTTGTCACTCATTGTACAAATTGATAATATTGCAGAATTTTAATATTGTTCAACGTAAATTAAAAATTTCACTAAATTCCTCGTTAACAGTCGATCGTTCATTTTCCGGTTACGTGTTTCGTTTTATGTAAGCCAAATTTCTATGGTCAAATTTCACAATGCTTTGGTATTCCCAAGACTTGCGACTTTTTACCATCTTCATAATATGTGCTAAAGAAGATAAAATCAATTACAGTTAGTACTGTGTAATATTTTTTATTCGATTAGAAATCGAATTTATGTTTGTACAAATATTACATGAAAGATTTTTTTCATCATTATAAGTGCACATATACTTTCAGTATTTTATAACTTATGCCTCAATAAAAAAAGTCGTGACGCAATGTTAATTAAAAATCTGTGACACATATAGTTTGTTTATTTTTTATTCGAGATAAAATTTAATTAAAACAAATTTTCTATAATGCGACAAAACTTTTAATCGCATTCTCCATTTCGCTGTCGCTTTATCAGGACTTTCTCTCAATCTTCACTCTTTCTGTGCCGACAGGTTAACGAAAGTAGGCACACTAAAGGTGATTTTTTTAGCTATTTTTAACTACCATTAATATTGTGTACGGAAATGTGTAAATTGTACTTCCCTGTTGCAGACAACATTTTCAGGAAAATCTTTAAATGCGCATTATTTCTGATCTTTTTTTATTTAATTAAAATGATCGATGATGTATGATCTACATTGGAAAGGTATTTCGTTGCTGTCGTGAATCACTGATTTCCACAGAATAATGAAAACCATCAAGGCTATGCGTATGTCGACAAAATACTCTATAAATGAGCACTGCTTCGACCGTGACTCTGCTCATTCCATATTCAGTGCATGACAGTGTGAAAATCTTAAAAATCTAAAGGTACTACTGAATGGTTTTTCGCTTTGCGACCTATGTGACTAACAACTTAAGATTTTTCTAAAGTCGGATCTATATGCGAAGTGAATGAGAAAAATAACCTAGTTTTGAAATTATATTCATTAAAGGCGTTCTCGCGACTAAAAAAAAAGGTTTACGCCCCGCATCGAAACCACGCATTAATGAGTGAAAATCGAATACAAATAACATAACAACCGGTTGACATTTGGTCCAAAATGAGACGCATTCTAAATTGAAGGTTTATGTAACAGCGCGGATACGTTTCAGAAAAGAAAAAAATCTGGAAATGTTGATTGGCTGCCGCTGGTATGTGGAATCGAGCGGCGTATGCGCTTATACGTTTGTTGCAGGAAATTGGAAAGTTAACCGCTCTTAAATAATTAGGATTTCTTTTAATGGATGATGATTATGACCGATTTATCAACTTAGTAGCTCCTACTTTCAACTCGGAACGTATTTTTTATTTGTTGATGAAAATGCATTTCGACCAAAGAATAACATTATCAGTATTTTCGTGTGTTCATTTTATGGAAGAATCAAAGTTTCCGCACTCCGGTGTCGTTGATTTTTATTACAAAAACATAAACAATTAGTTCTCGGCAATAATACCAACCTTGTTGTGATGTAAATAAATTCATTGTAATCGTTACTTATTTTGACACATTTTAGTGGCATAAATCGTATCTAATTTGATTTTAATGTCTTCATGTTAGAGTGACTACATAATAACTAGAATTCGTGAGACGCGTGCCGATGAAATTTATTCATGGTAGGGCGATTAGGACATATTTTGAAAAATGATGAAATCATATCGCGCAGTCACTATGATCGATTTGATAATTAAGATTGTTGCATAAGTGTGTTTTATATTTATCGATCCGGCGAATTATCTTTTTAACAAGTTACCTATGTCTTGGTCGTGTGTTGCTGAAAATTATATAATTTTGCACCACATGTGTGAATTATTCGCTAAATACTCGTGAGGCACAGATACAGATATGTTTAATTAATGAGAATTGTGTGTCTGAAGGAATTGACTTGCTGTTAAAAAATACAATGGCCGAATTATGGTGACACGCCCTAGACGATGTCTTTGCGATGCCGAGAATTAAAAAAGATGAAATTGTGTAACGCAATTATGCATTGAACTCGATGCCATTCCCTGAAAAACCCACTACAAAGAAGAAACTGTAGATTATGTAACGAAGACGTCACCCTAAAAGTCGTTTGTATTTTGTACTCAGCAGGTGTTTAGAGTCGCAGCTCTGTAAAAAAATGTACAAAGCTCAAATACGAAGGTTCAAATGAGAACGTTGTGCTTTACCAATTTACCGTAATGAGAGCAAGCGTGCAGAATCATGAATAACATTTAACACCAAACAGGGAGGAGAGAATTTAATCAAACTTCACCCGTACTGCTGTGTTAACCCAACAACGTAAAACAGAAACTGATTAGCTTACAATAAGAATTATTGCATGTTTTTGATGTAATCTTTAATTTCAATTTGTATTACAAGTAACTTTATTTTGAAACTTCTAGTAGTTAATCACCCTTTTAGTGAATAAATTTTGTCGGTCTTAACGACTTTAGTTCCCTTCATCTCGCCCAACTTGCTCTCTGAAGAGACTTGACTTGCTACTTGACAACTTTCCATCAAGTGCATAACGACTACTTCGCTTCAAATTATTGTATGTAAAGAGGCGTGTTCGCGACACACCTTGAAGAAGTAACTGATTTCATATTTTGAGTAGTTACCCCATTTTTCAAGATGTTATCATCAAAATGCAAGGTGAGAGTGAAAGGGCCGGGAACGATTATTGTTATTATTATTAGTATCAGTGACGAGCGGTGGTCTTAGGTAATATTATGCAGAAATTATGTAAGCTTGGAACCGGTTGCATGCCAAGAAAAAGCAGACACACCTTCGAATACGAAACAAATTTTGTAGTGGAAAAAGGAAGCAGATTATTGTTAATGACGAGCAATTTGTTTGACATTCCGAATCGGCCTCTTTAATGTTGTTTAAAGTTCAAGCCCACATGGCAGCTGACATTTTCAAATTTAGATCCGATTAAGCGAATGATAGCAGACAAAAAAAAAGGTTGAGACATTTTTAGATCAGAGCATGATTATTTAAGGAGAATATGTACGACTTTTCAAAAAAGTAACCTAGGTTTTATTACGAGGTTGCTTTTAGAGAATAAATAAATAAATAAATAAATAAATAAAGGGCAGCACATATGGGGCAGTTTTCGTACAGGATACGTCATTTCCGGTATTGTTATTCTTAACGTACGGAACTATCAATAATAAAATCAATCACTGACTAATAGGACGATCTTGCATTCCGTTTTGTTGCAGGAGACGAGTCAATAGAACGTTATCATTCTGAATTTTTAGTCGCAGTTGATAGGGATAATTGCATGGCCGACTACATCTGACAGTCGTTACCTCCTGTATGGCCAGAACGATTTGATGTTTTCCCATTAGTTTAGAAGATTACCAACATCTGTCAAAAATTTGCGCCTGGTGGCACCATCTAGAGCTACCCGTGTAAGCTACAAAAGAAAACTTTGTTATCATTTTGTCGTGTTTTGTCAATGTTGACTCAGTTATCTGTCACCTGTCACTATCATCATAGATCATGAGCGGATCATGAGCAAGTTGCAACGAACACGCAACGAAACTAAAAACTAAGTAATAATATCAAATTATAGAAAACATAATTTTATTTCAGCAATTTAATTGTATATCTACAATTTTTATTTAATAATGAACGACAAAAACTAATTAACAACCAAAAACTGTAAGTTTAGTTTAATTTTAATATTTTCCTACTCAACGGTTTTTTTTGCATTGATTTTCTTTTCACAAGGTCCGTTTTAGTTGAACAAAAATTATTTAAGACCACTGTGGCAGCAGTTCTTATTATAAATTGGGAAACCTGCGTCCTATGGGTAGAACAATGAAAAATTGGATTTTGTACTAAATCTGCTGTGATAAGTTCTATTAACTGACTGCAAGGATTTTCCTTTTCAATGTGTGGTATTAGTAGATGTATAACTTCAGCCAGTTCTTTTAAAACAGCTACAAATTCGAGATTGGGATATGTCAGCCCCCCACGATCTTGTAAATTTATTAAACGCAATAAGGGTCCAGGGATGGTTTTAGTTAATAATGAAGACACGCAGTAATCACACTTAAATTTATCATTCATTTTTTTTATGATATAGCCCGCCAAAAAAGCCACTGATGCTGAATAGACAGTATTATCTGTTAACATCTGAACGTTGTGTAAATTGCGAAGTTGTTGTAAAGTCGTAAAAGGTAATACAAGATCAGAGCAGTGTTTATGATGTTCTTGCGTAGAAGAAGAAGAAGTAGAAGGAAGGATATGATGTTTACTAACGAAATCAACATTTGATGCGACATTTGCAGATTTTGAAGTTTTGATAATACCACATTTAAGAATTTGTTTTAATGCATACTCAGCTGCTCGAGCATCTGTGGCATCATTTGATCCACCTCTCAACCTAACATGAGAAAACATGGCTTCGATACAATCAGAACTGAAAGTTCGTGTTAGTACATAGTAAAATCCTACTTCTTCAAGTAAGAATTTTACTGTAAGATACGTACTGCGGGCGATAAATTTTAAAGAATGCGCCGTTTCCTTGGATAAACCAGGCAAACCAGCTCGTTGAGACTGCACCTGAATGTCATCGATGTATTGAGGGAAATCATGGGTGAGCCAGTGTAAACGCTCATCTGATACATTGACATATGGTGCCACAGAACTATCCAAAGACCGTATATATTGGTTTTTGCTGCTAACGTTATGTATTTGGAAAAAGTGATGCATACATTCTAAATATTTCGTAGTTGCAGATACATTTTGGAATAGTTCATGGCCATTTTCATTTAAGAATTTTAAAGCAGCAGTTACAGATGGGTAAAATATCTGGATGGCTCTAAGGACATTCATTTTTTCTAAATTATTTGGAAATAGATGCTTTTTTGTCAGGAACTTCACTGGTTTGACTGGTAAATCTCTTTGTAAATCATACAAATCTGTTAAAAATGATGCAGAGATCACGCCATCAGAGGACATCATCTCATTTTGCAGGAATAAATTCCTCGCATTTTTTATGGCGTGACAATAGTCAAAGCTTAGAAATAAAGGCAAAGGAGACAAATAGGGGTGACTGATGACATTTTCAATGGTGCCATTTCCAAGAAGCTTAAATAATTTTACGTTCAATGCCAAATTGTCCGTTACAATGCGTATTATTAAAAATCCACAATCGGTAACTAGTTTTAAAATTTTTAAGGTTAAAGAATAAAATTCTTCAGCGGTAAAAGAAGAATGGAAAAAATATCCCGCTGGGATCGTGAATCTGGTCGTTAACCCATGCACAACATAACACATCATTTGATGAGCAATTTCCACCTGTCCTCCAATTGTGTTACTGCTGGATGTGCTTAAACCGTAAAGTCGATCGTCAGAACGACTGTAGATCAGTTTTTGTCTTATAGCCATGTCATCAATGACAAGGGAGCACACTCTTTCAATGGGATTTTTGAAATTGGAGACTTCTGTTGTTAATCTCTGCTTAATTAGTTCATTAGAACTGTTAATGTTTCCTAAATATCTCGCAATAGTTGTTTTGGATGGTATTTTCAATAAATTTCGTCTACAAAATTCATACCCTTTTGTAGAGCAAAATCTCCACACAGTACACAATCTGACCGAAGTTTCATTCCATCTTGGCACTTTTCGATTGTAATTAGTTAAAATATTTAACAAAAATATTGCTGTTTCGTCACCATTGGCAGCGTTTTTATTAATTTTTTCAAAAATTTTGTATTTTTCCGAATGCTTTTGTTTTTCTGCTTCCAAAATTTCAATTTTTTTGAGTGATTTTTGATATTTTTGAGTTAATGTACGTAATTTCGATGTTAAAATTTTAACGTGGTATTGTAAATTTAGAAGTTCAGTACCTGTGACATTAGTCTGAGTACCAGATTCTTGAGAAGGAGTGTCAACAAGAATATCAGTGGGAATATCAATAGGAGCGTTCTGGAAAAGATAGGAAAGGTTTATATTGGAATTATTTAAAATTGAAGTATACTCACAAATTCAGAAGGTACTGCTTTATTAGTTAATCTTGTTACTTTTTCAAAATTTTCAAAACAATCCGGTCGAAAGTGTTCGGCGCATATTAGTGTACGCTCTTTTATTTTTGATGCATCTAATAGAAAAATGATTAGTCATTTACTACATGAATGTTATAAATGTTTTATATTTATATACCGCAATAATTTTGAACTGCTTCAAACCATTGTTTTCTTAGTTTTGCTTCTGACGGAAATTCGAAGCAAGAAATATTAGTTTTCTTGCAAATAAAACACTTTCTCGTCATTTTAAAACTAATAAAATATTTATGCGTTACTCAAAAATAATATTTGAAGTTTCAAAAATGTCAATGCTTGAATTCTACATTTCTGTAACAGATGGCGCTGCATGACGCAAAAAATCTGCCATATGTCGGTAATCCTGTAATTCAAATTTTTATCAAATCGTTCCGGCCATACAGGAGGTAACGACTGTCAGATGTAGTCGGCCATGATAATTGAAACAGCTGCTGCTATCTATTACCAACTAGATTTGACAACGTGGGGTGTCCTAAACAGAAGAGTTCTGTTCTCGTGTACTGAATGTCTGTTTATCTATATATGCACATGAACACTATGAACTTTCAAGGTACCTGTCATATATCTATCTTTATACAGTTTTACCGAAATGATAACATTAGTTGATTATTATTCGTTGATAAATAGGGCATAAGACACTAAAACCTAGTATATAATACAAAAATATAAATATACATCGCGTTCACTTTATGCTAGAGTAACTTGATTACTGTTGACACAATAATGAACGAGATCCGAATTAAAAAGAACTAATATTTATTAAACACATGTGTATATCTGGTTGCCTAAGCATTCTGCAATATACTACAAAAGTATCGGTAATGTTTAAAAAAAGGATTTGTTATTAAACCTGTGTAAAAGACACTTATCGCGTTCTAGATCCGTGTGAGATTTATTATTTAATTCTGCAGTGGCGGCGCATTTTTTTCACAAAACAGATGACGTATTCATCAGACGTCTTTATAAACTATTTTATATTTTATATGTTACTTGTGCAAAATGCAGTTGAAATTAGAGGCAGATTCGGCCCCACCACTCCAGGTTTGTTATTTTACCACCTTTGCGGTAAGGGTACAGTATACTTAGTTTTAAATGTGCTGTAGACTAGGAATCAGAAACGGAGAAATGACAACGTAGAGTTCGCATTTTCCGAGCTATAATGAAATCAAACGTTTCTTGAAATTCTCTTTTTTCAGTATTTGCCCTGGCTATCGCTCTGGTAGTAAAAATTATGTTGTGTTTCAGTAAACTTTAATTTAATTAACAACAATAAGTTAATGCTTAAGTACGCCGCATTTAACAATCTTAAACGAAAATAGAAAACCCTACAACCTAAAAGCGAGAAAAATTGTCTAGACATCTTGGAAGCTCTACAACGAAATCACTGTCTATTGTGCTTCAGCTCCAAAGCTAATTTGTAACCTAACTCGGGCTTTCTGTCATTGCCGTCAATCATATCTTTAACTTGGCTCGAATGGACCACAACGCCGTGATTTTCTTTGACATAATTCTTGATTTTCTCAATATCTAGGAGATCGACGCCTCTGCAGCAGTCTTCCAAGATGATAGTCCTGTATCCAGCAGAGAGAGCGTCGTTTGCGGAATAGGCTGCAACATATTTTTGTAATTCAATCGAAACATTTAACTATGGGTGGGTTTTTACCGACGCACACATCGTAAGCCACCCCACACAAATACAGATCGGTGATGTGTTTCTGTTTTAAGAGTGGATCTAACTTGGTGGCTGCTAATTTTTGATTATCCCAGAACAGGGAGTACGAATCCACGTCCGGGTTGGTTCCTTTGTATATTTTCGTTGCGTTTTCCACCACCTGCAAACTGTGTTTAGCGAGACGGTATACCCTCGAAACAGTCAAACCTTAAGGTCTTTGTGCAGATCCGACCCCCAGGTGTTTTGTACGCAGTGTTTTGGCCAGAGTTTTTGCGGCATCGGCGGATCCCTGTCAAAAATAACAGTGTCGTACACCTTTGCGTCTTCGGCTTTAATCGGGCTGGATTCGTGCAGTTTTCTTAAGAAAATGTTATCAATGAAAGACACGTGATCAATAGGATGCCAGTCGTAGGAGTAGACGACAGTTTCGAAGTCGACCGTTTCAAGGAGATTGTTGATCGGTTGGATGACGTCTTCGCCGTTGTGTTTCGCCGGACAGTTGGAAATGTTGAGGCTGCCTGAGATGAAATCGTTTTGGACGTCGATGACCAGAATGGCGGAGACGGGTTTGACGATCTAACGACAAGAAACTCAAAATCGCTCGATGTACAAATTGGACTTTCTTACGACTTTGATCCAGTGGTGCCAGCAGAACACGAACTCATCTCTATCGATGTGGTCGTCATCGTTCGTGTCGAAAATTTTGAAAATCTCCGTCAAAGTGCCGTCGTCGACGTTGTACGTCTCACCCTTGCCATTACGGAAGAGCGCCCCGCAAAGCGTGCGAAACTCTTCAAGGTTCAGCTTACCGTCGCTGTAATAAAATGTTTACAAGTGTGCTTTTGTACTTGTTACCGAACATTTAAATCCGTTGCATGCGATGTACAAGGAAGTTTCGCGTTTCGATTTCACAAAATTATAATCGATATGAATACGGTTGTTGTGTTGCTTTAACCTTTCCGAACAATTTATAAGTTAAAAATAGATTGAATACGTGGCGAAGGAAGGGGTTGCTTCGAGCACGACTACTAATTGGAGAAAAAGCGAACACGTTTGCGGAGATGCGTACATTATTAGACTTGTTTGGAAAAAACGGAATCGATAACTCATTCCGAGCACCGGTGGAGTCGATATAGTGTAGGAAAAAAACTCCCAGGGATCCGATGAATGCGGATTTGGTTAATGGCGTGAGCCGAACGCCGAACGTAATTATTTTCGGATACCGACAATTTTCGATATAATTTAAATTCGATTATTTTATTTGCTCTGCGGTATATTGCGGAGATTCGGGCCGCCAGAGCCTTTCCGATTAGATACTTCCTTGGCGGTTTTTTTTTGTAAACAACACGGGGCCAAATAGGGCTTCGGCAAATTCGTTGAGAAAGATGTTCATCAAGCAAATCTAGATCGAGTCAAGTTATCGTAATTCATCGGACCTCGAAGGTCAGCGGGTTTTTTTCGGCAAACGTATTTTAACGTCACATTAGACATTTAACAATCATTTTGTTGTATAATTTCACCTGGACTACGTTCATTGTGTGGGTTCCAAGTAATAAACACACAAGGTGAATTTATCGGACGTGTATTGTACGGTTTCAAGGATAGCGATAACTATTAACTGATTATACGTTTACGGGTGCTAACGAAAATTACCCATAGTGACTGTAAATTTGGCTGTTGTACATGACGCGAACTTTTGCATGCTTTTCCTCGTCCCAGATTTTCGCGAAAAATCTCATTCCTGCTGTCAATCGTCCAGGAAGAGAATCCGTTCCCGCTAATATTAGCTCCCGTGATGTACACAGCACATGCATCACGATGACGAATCGCAACGCAAGAATATTTGACAAGCAAAAGCTTCCTAACCTAAAAAGCTGCTCTATCGTCTAACCGACATGATATTTACCAGTCCTTGTCGAAAGCACCAAAGCACGCGTCCATCGTGGACTCGTTAGTAAAATTAAAATTCACAAAATCAATGGATCGTGTGCTAACGGACATGACTACTGCAGTTGGGGTAAAACTACGCGCCAAGTAGTGTTTACAGTCGATAATATCAACGCGACAATTCACATCGCTGACTGACACGATACCGACGATCCTCCCATTGACTCCACGGATATCAGCGACTGCGAAAAAACGTGACGCGCCCGACTTAGTCGTGGGAATACCCTAAACACACAGCTTATACTCTTGGCTCTATTTCTGGGCTGACATGGCCTGACGTCACATCAGTCATTTACTACGATTGTATTGATCGAGGTGACGTCATCAAGCTTAAAGTTTGAGGGGTCTATGTACAGTATCTTCAGGCGGTACTCTACTCTCTCGATGGCACAAAAGCGTGGGAATTTCAATGCCAGGCAAATAGGCATTACAGGACGAATACTGGAAAGAGTGATTCAAGTGTGCGGAGTATATGGAGGATTTTTTCGTAAATAATTACTTTAGTTTGTTTGTGTTATGCCAGAATTATCTTAAGTAAACAATAATTGTAAATTGTTGTTGGCTAAACTACTTTGAGTCATTAAATAGACCTAGTTTTTTTTTTTTTTTTGAGAGAAAATTGTTGGATTATGTTAAATGTATTATTTTTTCAATAACCGTGTGATTCAGAGGATTTCACAATTTTCGTACACATAGTTATTTGGCCATGTGGGAATAAATAGTTATTTCATCATAATATTTCCGGAGATAACACGATATATTTTAGATCCATGTAGTGCGTTGGTGATACTTAAAACAAAACCGGGTGAAAAAGAGATGTAATTATAGATTACGTATCTCTTGATGATTACTAATCTTTCACGATATCTATTAAAATTGTTACAATAAGTAACTGACTTTTATTCAAGACATGCGAATGTTTTTCGTGGAAGTTACTTGTCCACTAACCCTATTTAACTTTTTTCCTAGTGACTGTTTCAGGCGGTATTGATTACGCTTCAAAGGTGAAGGAAATTCTATACCTAAGAGTATATAGTTGTAAATAGATATATGTAATTATGTATACATAGTATAAAACAAAGTGTCTATCCGTCTGTCTGAATGCGATAATCTCAAAAACTACTCTACGGATTTTCATGCGGTTTTCACCAGTAGGTAGAGTGATTCACGAGGAAGGTTTTTTGTAAATTATGTAAAAAAATAAAATAAAAATAAAAACGTAACCCTCCGATATTCTAAATGCAACACAACAAAGATATATATGCAACCGGGTTGCATATGTCTGTGCTTTCCATAAACGACTTCATCTTAATTTTTTATAAATAATAAATAATACATATGTAGATGGCAATGATTGCGCCAAAATTGTGACACATTAGTTCTAACAGTCAAATTATTTTCAACTTTTGCTAACAATATTTTCGAATTCCGAAAAAAACCGATATGCTTTTAACTTTGGGAAGTGTGATAGAAATTTCGATGCTGCCCCTCTTCTGTATACTAGGCGATACGATTCCTTCTAACCAAACATTTAGAAAATTCAAAAAAAAAGTCAAGAAAAGTTGATCAGTTTAAGAAAACTCAAGTTAGGCGTCGTACAGAAATTATATGCTTATGATGTGTATGTGTTGCCTTTACGAAAGTATTCAGACGTGAACAGATAAAATAATCACCCTGTACATACAAATAATCTTATAGATATTTTTTAAATTTGGACAAGCTAAATTGTGAAATAATCCAAGTTTAATATACAAACACATTACTAATCAATTTTTTAAATAATTCAATGACGCAGAATGATACGGTGACACTTAGATTATCAAAATTATCGATAAAGTGAGCGTATCAAAATATCTTGTAATACAAGATCTACTCGTAAGGAAACTTACAGTTGAAACGGCTGAACTGATAAAAAATTCAATTCAAAATTAACTCATTCAAATGAATGAGTTAACGGAAGCAATTGTTATTCAGTTTCACATCATTTACATCGCATGCTAGTGTTGAACTTTTAGGTTACCAGTACCTCAAACAGTAATTATCTAATCATATTTAAAAAATACGTGTCTATTTACGTTACAGAAAGATCCAATTTTTAAAATTCCATGAAAAAGGTTAAGGGTGAAAATTTTTCAAAGTAGGTGCTTCACGACATCCATCCATTAGATTTAGAATAAATATTGCACTTGTAAATTAAGTGGATTTTTTTATCGAGACATTGTAGTTAAAGATTTGATGAAAGATTTTAATTCCTGTCTGACAATTGAAAGTAATTGTAGATGCAAGTCCTGTTACAGTTTACACAATAAAAAAAAAACAAACAAAAAAACAAAGTGCAATCTTAGATCATATAATAAATAGATACCAATACTCAAACTGAAAGCTGTGACTAGACATGAAGCTATCTGTTGTCGTTTTCTACGTCAAGAAGAGTAGTATAATGCTATCCTTGTGTGATCACCACATCTTCATCTTTGTTATATGCATTTCATCTGTATATGTCTATTTCACTTCTATCCTTGTACCGCACCAGCACAACAAATCGCTTTTGACAGAAGTTTCTTCTAACCTCTCTTTCGAGTTGTTGTACAGAAAACAATTTTAGAATTTAGAACAAAGATCCTATTTTAAGTGATGTAATCATAAAGGATCACAATTGCTGCCCAATAATTTACTATTCCTTTCATTATCTACTGTGAATTATTTATAAAATCAAGCTGTCAACATCTTTCGTACGAAGTTAGTTCAGACATACTTCCTAAAATTTAGGCGCGCAAAATTCAAATAGTGATCAGGCAAGGATAGCTTCATTGTAATCCCTCCATGCACGAGAGAGATGTGTGACAGGAGGATGTCGTCACAGGCTCTGCTACGGAAAGAACACGGCATGGTGGTATCTATTTATTATATGATCTAAGAGTGCAATATTTTTTGTTGATTCTAGAAATAAAATTTATAAATTTAATTTTTAACCGTACCTTCATGGATACACTTTCACAACAAGAAATTCATTACTAGAAAAGATAGGGAAAAACGCATTTATTTATTATATGACAATAACAAAAACAACTATATACACACATCTACTACTTAAATACTAGTGTCTACATCTATGTTGGCAACGACTGTTTTCAGGCACTTTTTCATTTTTTGTGTTGAAAATCTATTTTATGTAAAATAAATTAGTGAAAGCTTGATTAGAATACTACATATATGATCACGTGCAAAATGGCGGTACGTTCTTCAATATGGCGCCCCCGAACACCCTCACCGGCGTCTTCGTCCAACTAATCAGAACATCCTTTCCGCTGACCGGAGCTCCTTTCCCCAAAAAACAAATATAACTCAGTTCCACCAATTTTAGTCCCGTTGGCTTTGGCGTAAAACTTTCAATGTCGTTAATTATCCTCGACCCTAAATGGATTCTCCTGTTGGGTTGCATTCGTATAGCGGGAGCATCAACCAAACCGAACATATTGTCGAAGATATCCGAGAAACTTTTCGGTTTTCGGTTCGGTTGAACCGAAAAGTAACTAAATACGTCTGGGACATCGACAGCTGAACGATGGGGATAAGTTGACGGTTGACGTATCTCCTCGTTGCTAATGGCGTAATGGCGGCGTGAGGGGAAGTCGGAATACGACGTCGGCGATAGGACGAAGTTGAAGCCGAAAACGTCCCCTTCGATGCCGTCGTCAAGTCCCTTATCGAAATCGGTGTACTCCTGTCCCACAACGATGTCACCGCCGCCCTTGATTTTTATTCCTCGTAGCTAAAAAATATTCCGGTTCAGTTGCTTTCTTTGGATTTTTATTAATTAATACCTGAGGCGCAAAGCCCGTGGATTTTAACTTTCCATTGAAGTATAAATTGTATAGCGCTTGAGATGAGGACCACGATTGGCAGATGTGGTACCAGTGATTCTCCACGAATTTTATGGGTATTTTAAAGATGGGGTACTCGAGGATTTCCAAATTTATGTCGGTTCCGTGAGGTGAGATCCAAACTCGAATTAAGCGTTCCTCTTCGTGTTCTGTCGACATGTCCATGCTTATTATGTTACATTACGAATTGAGAAGAAAGTGCGTGAATAATGAGTGGTTATAATTAGTTAGGAAAGTAATGAGGAAATACGTTGACAAAGTGGTTGTTTTCTAGATTATGGATGGACGAAGTCGCAGACTAAATGTGCGCCTAATTTAGAACTTACTCGAATATGACAGAATAGGATGGGAGTACGTGAGGTTGTTACTTCTGACCCATATACAGAAAGTGTAGTCGCTGAGGGGCGGCACGTCGCTAATGTACCTCAAAAACTACGAAAACATAAATCTTCTTTTTTCTTTTCGTGTAAATACCAACCTGAATGTATCCCTTCTGAGTAAAAGAAACTTTATGTATGCTGATATCGGCCTTGTGTCGGTTATAATTTTTAACAAAACTTTTCAGTGCCGCATTTTCGTTATTTACTACAGCCTCAATATTCTCCCATAAAACCAAACAACAAAAGAGCAGCGTGTGTTTTGCAAATTGCATTTTTATCTGAAAATAAAATACACATTGTAAGTGCGGCGATTTTGGCAGAATTCCTGTAGATAAGGTCAGTGTCGCGGTCGTTACGGTGAAATTCAGGTTTTGCGAGCGGTAGCCATTGACAATGAAACAATAATGTTCAATAATAGACTAACGTCTGCAGTATCGGGCGATCGATATCAGCGCAGCAGGATTAATAATATTGGTCACGGTAACACAACCGTGTGGAATTAATCAATAAGCGAGGGGTCGAGAATTTGACGTTGCAAAAATACAACAGGCATAAAAATTCATACAAGTCCCCGCATCTTAACTTTCTCGAACCCACATTTTCATTTTTTATTCAGTGTGGGTTCACGTGGTTCGCGTGTATGTTCTGGTGACGATGGAACAAAAGATTTGAATAAATAAATAAATAAATAAATTGTGCCATCTTTTCTGGTCGCCTACGCTCGACCCATTCAAATTTGTAAATGTTGACGCAAGATTACAACAGCAAAATGTCTTGTTTTCTCTATTTGGCAAAAAGCGATATCGATCTATCGATTTCCACGAAAATTATCACTTTTTTAAGACATTCACTTTCGAATGTAACGGAAATTTTCGAATCAATCCATTTATCGACAAAACACTTTTTGTCAAGCACATTAAAACTTATTCGCGTATTATTAACTTTTGTTTACATTTGTTAATAACCTCTTTCGGTACGTCGTGCAATGTTTTCATCTGTGTGACACGAGTGAAAGTTGTTTATCATAATAATTCCATGAGGGAATCCTCGCCATGTGATGTCGTTTAAAAATGCCCACAACTCTTTCGTTAAAAAAAAAAAATGCAAATTATGCAAACTCGCATCGGTACTATTAGCAAGCAGAGCATGTAATATTTCTATAATACGTTGGTTTATTAACAGTTTTACGTAACGTTACTTTCAGTATTGCAAATATTGCTTAAATCAAGCACTCGAGAAATTTTGGAAATTAGAAAAAAATCACTACACTCACCTGAAATTTTTCAAACTATAAGGAATGTTTCTTTTTGCTAAATTGATAATACACCGACCGCACATCCCGCACACATATTCTTTAATATTTTAATCTTTTCTTGTGTCGAACAACTTCTTGAAGCGCGACTGGATCATGCTGCCGACGTACTGCACTACACGCGATAATTTTCTTTTTAGAAATGTTGGTTCAACCGCCCTCCTCCACTCTGAAAGAACCGCAGACATACTTTTGTTGTATAATTATTAGTCAATTAACAATTAAGGCCAACGTAGCTTTTGTAAAATCAAATGTAAAATTGCGGTTTCGTTAGCTAACGGTTAATACGTATAACGAATTACTTGCAAGGATTAAATAATAATTGCTCTTCAGGTGGAGAGAAGACATTCTTGTGGTGCATGATTGGAATCTGTATTGGAGTGTCCTAGGATTCTGGCATATCTGGTTTATGATATAGATTAAGTGATGGCAGTAAAAATAATAATGTAATATAATTAACAAGAGGAAAAAAGATCTGCGGTTTTGTAACGGGTGTAATTCATTCAATCAAGGTAGTTGTAGTTGCGGATATCATGCAAGAAAAATAATTCAAAATTCGAACATTGCATTGAAACAAAACTTTACTTTGAAATTAATTTTAGTTCCAACGCTTAAAGTTTTCTTGGCATTTCGCAACTTGTTGAATGCAAAAATGAAGGCCTGTGATTTGTTGTCGTTGATGATTTTATTAGAGAGACAATTTAGTCTACTAAACTATCGAAAGCTTATTTATGCAAATCTCAATTGAAGCGACTAACGTGGCCTATTTCTTTATTGGATTACAAAATATTAGTCGTTATTATTGTTGCTATTATTTATTATAAAACCAATCCACTGACTCGGAAATGAGGGGCATTTGGTACTATGTTGATAAATACGCTTCAGGATCGCCTGATGTTGTGCCTCAAGGGCGACGAAAATTCGGTGGAAATGATTTTTTAAATCTTTTATTCTCTAGCGTCAGCAAATTTTGTATAGCGATTTGTTTTTCAAATTGCAAGAATTTTGCAACAGATAACCTAATAGGAAGCCAGGTTTGTTAAATATAAACATTCGGTTATTATTTTTACTGCAAAATCTTTACGTCTACGTAACGGACATGTTAGAGTTCAAGTATCTTCTCCGCCATCCTGATTTCGTAATATTACCATGACTTTTTTTCCAGCATTGGCAATAAAATTATTTAATTTCCTGTTTCCAATCTACGAATGGCATTTTTTGCAACCGTCTAAAATACGCAGCTTCCGATTTTACCAATCGACATTATCAAATCTAATGAATTTGTGTGATAATCAGGTGAAAGGTAAACAGTCGCAATTCCGAAATAATTAATTCATCCACATTCACAATTTCCTCCTGTTTTCACATTCATATCGAAGAACCAGACCAAACAACAGTTAATCCCTGAAAAGCATAATTGAGTATTAGGACCGAGGTCAGCGTGTCTAGAGGTAATTGGGTGTCGTAGCAGGTGGTTAACGAAGTGCTCGCTCGTTTTTTCCTCGCTGTTCCCATCAATAGACGGTTTACCGGGTCATCGAAGTTCCTGATGTCATGTGTATTATCTGGACAAACAAGCGCGCTACACGGATTACTATGCTTAATAACGCAATCCTATTTCCCGTTGGCGCTGACACACCAAAGAAGACTCTCAGCAATGAGTACTCGTTCTCCGAACGGTATTTCAATGCTTTTCGCTTCAAGCCAAAGAAAGCACCATGACTAACATTCAATAATCTCAACATCTATAAAATTATTTTTATTTGAAGCACTTACTTTCGAGATGTGCTATTGCGTAAGGATCTGCGTGGAATTTTCTCGGGTGAAACTGTTGTTTACGGTCAATAAAATAGGTGCGGTTTGATAATAATTGGACCACGGTTCCGATGAGTTTCGAGATGGTTTTGAGGTCGTTATGGATGATGGTCTAGACGCATTTTTTTTTTCTTAATTTCGCCTTCTGCAATCCACCAAATATTTAGGTTTGTGAAATTCGATCATGATTTCGGCGATAGTTTGGAAATCGGCGTTTCCTGTTGACCGTCTACTGGAATATTTAGTTTTTATTTGTATTGAAAGTAATTGAAATTTTAATGATTGGACCGGGATTTGCTTTCAACAGTTCGCTTTTTGCGTTTGTGTAAACGAAATTAGTTGGAAATTCGATTTACACTTGCAGTCGAACGGAAATGTGCGTGAGTGTACATGTTGCAAATTATTCGAAAATTTCTGATAATGGTCATAAAATGTACGCAAACATATACTTGTTGATAAAAAAAGTGTATAACATGCACTCCTCAGAATTAATAAAACAAAAACGGTCTAAATACAACGGTTCTTTTTCCTATCGAGCGAAACGTAAAAGAAAAAGAATAACGTTTGTGGAATTTTGAACAAAAAACATTTGTTTCATACGTCTTGCTTTCACCGTTAATTCAGTTCAAGGCGTAAGTAAGTAAACGAATAAAATATAGAGTTAAATTTTTCATTAAGTTTTTAAATGACATGTTCGCGCATTGTACCGATAGAAGCTCCTGTCCGCAAACTGTTTGCGAAAAATTACAAGTCAAAAGTTGAAAAAAAAAAGAGAATTACTGTTCTCGGTGTGTATTGATTCATCTGTTAATTATCAGGTCGCGTTTTTTTATGTATAAAATAAAATAATATAATTTGTAAGTCTTTTCAGGGGAGCGCCGGTAAAGCACCGTATTACATGGGCTCCACCGCCAGCCTTCCGCGAGGCGCTACTCTCCTTCGGACTTACTCCCCCGCCGTAGGAGCTCTGCCCTCCGAGCGCTTAAAGTCTCTTCCAACAGGTAACCTTCCACTTGCAGTTTTGAGCTTACTGAATGCAGCATGCTAGCACAGTGCACTCATCAATTTTATGTTGGCTTCCAACTAGTGTACGCTTCTAGCTCTTCTGCTTACCCATGCAAAGTTGGTTTTTTCTCTTAAAAATAGAGAAAAACCCAGCTTGTGATGCCACCAGCAATGTTTAAATCGTAATGGTGAAGGTAACTTTTGAAAGGTGCTCCTCCCAAACCTCAACGTGCGTACTCCGGTGGGTCTACCCGCTCGAGTGACGGTCCACCTCGACCACCAGACCGATTCGCCCCCTTCCAAAGGCCCGCCAACCCTCTCTTTAATGTACCAGGTGGGTCAGTACCATCCTTACAAACGAAAAAAAATTTTTGCATCGAGTGTATGATTCCCGTGGCTGCGAATTCGATGTGGCACTTAGATTTTTGAGTAGTGTTAGTACAAGGGGAAAGATGAACACTTGTAGGATTTTGAATATTTAGATATGTGTGCGATACTGTTAGATATAGTACCGTAGTCGCTGACCTTTAGTTGCTTCGGCTTATTGGTATTTTTTTGTTTAGATGGATACATGTCCTCACCAGAAAGAGGTTCAAGATATGAAGACCCTTATTACAGCCAGTACGGATCGAGGTCAGGATCTATCACGCCAGTCATTGACGAAGAAGTTAGGTACTTCGCGTTCAAAATTTTTGAAACATTCAAAACACTTTGCATCCATTTTTTTCAGTGATACGGAATTACTAGATGACTCGTACTCTCTTTATGGGGTTAAATTAGCTTCAGGAGGGTCAAGAGGAGGACCGAGGTCGCCGTTCCCGCCTCCGGCCGCCGTTCCATATGATGCTACACGGTATGCAAGAAGATAGTCTTTTTTTTTGACATTAAAAATACACCCCATTCAGAAGGCATACTTTCTGGTTTGAAGAGCACATGTTTGCGATTTTTCGTTACTAAAGCAAGGCCTTATTCACGAGGAAGACTTACTTTAATTGCGTTACTTTTGAATATTAAGTACCTATCTGTAGAAACAACACAATACAAAGACACGTTAATATACTGTGCCAATATTTCTTTAACATGTGAATCATTAAACTTTTTCTTTTCGATCTGTTTGCACAATGTCTGTAAGATGCGAATTAGAACACTAAACTAGGTTTAAAAGTTTACTTAATTTTTATAGGTTGCGTGTAGAAAATATGGAGCGTCAGCTCGCTAATTTGACAGGTCTGGTTCAAAAGGCTCTTACGCAAACTCCCACAACGCACCTGCAAGTACCGGGAAGGGAAAACTATCGTACAGGTATTTATTTCGTGGTTGCGAGTGCGTAGCCTTGTGTTTAATTGTTAATGCACTGAATAGCAACTAGTCCTAGAAAATTTTGGATTAAGTATTTTTGCTGATTGAAATAACGTACAGGGTAAGCAGTACGAACGAATACAACGTACCGATAATAAAAAAAGTGCCGTACTGTTAATCCAAGTGCACCTCAAAAAGTAGACAATCATTCACGAATCCAGTTTTAGATTCTAGATACTTTGCAATCGCGTTTGAACGACATTCTTTTACTTATCGATAAACGAAAATTTCTTTATTCATTAGAATTCAGCTCAGCAACTGTCCATGTTCTATTATACATGTAGCATCAGCGCCTGTCGATGGTGTTACTAATGTTGCGATGTGTGTGGTGCTTGTAAATAGTTTGTTGCTAACATCACCATTTCTCCTGCAGGAGACGAGTTCGATAAGAACTCCAGTTCAAGTTCCGCCTCTTTACCAGGTTTGTATTCACCCGCTTATGGTCGCTTTTTTTTCTACTAACATCCATCATTATCATCATCATCATTATTATTATCATGCATGCACACAAAAACGATTTAAAGAAAAACTAAATCTCGAAGATTGGCAATAACATACTTTGACTTGTTTTTAAATGATTAGCCTGATTTAATTTGCGTCAGTGAGGTACATATTTTTAATAACACACCGATTTGTCTATGTTGGCAGATGACTCGTACCTCCGATCTGACAGCAAAACGCCCAAATTGGGCAAAAGCGGCTGTCGTAAGTCCACATTATTACTAAGCATGATCTTAGTATGTATCAGTGTAATACCTCTCCAAAATTAGGATTTGTACTTGCTTGCAGTTCCACGGGATATTGGAAAAGTCACCCCTTAGTAGAAGGGTGGCATCTCCTCCATTTGCATTATCGTTAGCTGTACCATTGCTTCCTTTCAGTATAAAACACTCGTACATCTCCAGGCTTTCTATCTGTGTACTTCCTTCTCTCAACATCTTGGATTTTCGAGATAACCTCAAGTAGTTAGGGTTGAATGACTCTTTCCTCAGTCCTCTGCTTCGTTCCAAATTTGATTTGTTGTTCTCTGTATTGTTTGTCTAACATAAACGTTTGTGTGTACTTTTTAGATAAATCGGTTTCTTTCGAGAAATCTGTGTCGTTCAGTGACGAACCGCCAGACATGAACTCGCCGAAACAGCACAGTCCGCAGCATGCAGGTAATAATTCATTCTGTGAAGGCACCAAAATAGCAACTAATCCCACATTTGCATCCGTATGTAAAAAAAAAAATGCGAAAAGAATAAACACACTAGGCATGTACGGGGACTAGATTGGTTGTTATTAAAAATTCTCAGCTCAGTCAAATCTTCCAATCGGACTAACCGCATCGCAACTAGAATCGAACTCAGTCTTGCTACAGTGTACAGTTTCCTTCCGACTCCAAATGCTAAACCAGGGAAACGATCCTGCAGCGAACGTTGTCCCAAATGCTAACGAATGCACAGCTTGAATAATAAATTTCAAATCGAACAATCGTGCGAACGTAAAATCTCGATTTGACTGAGCCCCATTAGCTAGCTTATATTTGATTTACTTATTTTTTAACGAAAGAAAATGAGCGTCTTCGTTTCGACTATCTTCACGTTTATTTAGTTCCGCACCACTCATTTTCTTGGCAAGCGATGACGCATGCATTTGCGAGATAAATAAATGGAAAAAGTAGAAGGTACTGTCTCGAGAACGTGTTAGGAATGGTATGCATGAGTGTAATTTTTTCCCGACTAACTTAGTTCTTTGGTGTTTTGCTTCCCCTATAGCGGATACTAAACCTGCCAAACCCGCCATAAAATCATCAACTCTTCCGCGGACCTCTTCGCAGGGTAAGTCTATTTTTCCCTCCTATTCTACGAATCTTTTCTTGCGTTTTCAAGTTCGAGCGCGAACGACGATCAAACTAACCAACTAACCGATCTTGTTTAATTCAGAGAGAGATCGGTTAAAACCGGCGCCTCCACCAAAACCGGCGTCGTTGTCGCCTGGACAATACGACGGGCGACTGTTGTACCGCGATCTCCAGCTTACGCCAGAAATGTACAACCAGTTGAGAGGTTTGCAGAAAAAGGCGAAAGATTTGAGAGCGGAAGTGAGGAATCTGAGGAGGATGTCACAGGCTCAGGCACATTCGGTGCGCGAAACCATAAGGGATACTTTCATCAAAATCAGAGCGATGCTGCTGGCCGGTGGCGAACAAGTCTGGCAAGCTGGTGAGTAAAAGAATATGTGTAGAAGGTTGTCTATAGGAAGAGGAGAACGCAGGGATGGATCAAGAGAGGGTGCGTCTGAGCCGGGAGGAGGATCTTTACAAGCAAGAAATGTTGCGCCTCGAGAAGGATCTGAGCGACCTGGAATCAACAGTGGAGGAGTTGAGGGGCAACGTGATCAACAGGAAGACAAGGGTGAACATGTCGGACGTTGAAAATATGGCACTAGTCTTAAGTAAAAGCTCAAAAACTGTGGCCGATTTAAAATTAAGGTGAGACTGTGAACGTTTTGAAGTTAATTACGACGAAGGGCTTGCAGATTTCCCGGCCTACAAGACGGGATGAAAACTTTCCTGAGTTCGGAGATGGAGAAAGTGATGAGGGAGGAAAAGTTCCTAAAAGAAGAGCCCGAACGACTGGAGAGCGCTTTAAGACGGTGTAAAAAACTTACAGGGACTCTAGTCACGTTAAAAAGGTTAGTTAGTTGAGCGTCGTAACTGCAGTTTACATCTTGTATTTGCAGACTTGCAAGTGTTCAAGAGCAACGCCTTCCTTGCTCAAACTCATCGACTGACGGTCGCCTATCGCCCACGGTGACCGAAACGCCACCTATAACACCTACGTCAGCGTCACAACATAGCAAGGTAAGTCGTCTGCGAGCTAAACGATTAATGTCTAACCTGCATGCGTGGCTGTTGTGGCGAATCAGTTCGTGTCCAATGGAAGGGACGACACGAATTGATTCATCTCTCAGCATTTTTCTGCAGAAGAATGCCTTACATTAATGGACTAATAAGGTGATATTCTCAAAATGATGCAATACGCATTTCCAATGTTACCTTAGCTATGAAAACCCCTAACCCCTTTTCTAAATTCGACCATGTTCGTGAAAAGAGTGTTTTCAAGACGTCGTCGTTTGTCGACCTGCTGACCTTTCACGAATATTGGGGTCGATATTAGTTTAGGTCTTTTCTTGCTGTAGAGAGCATCTTGTTTTATAACCCTAAACCCCCACGATTCTAACAGACCATGCACAAATCTCGAATCGCCTTAAACCTAATGTTAATGTAAGAATTTAAACCAATGTACACTTACTTGTACATACTTAACTATGTGTTTAACCCCGAACAAGGTACAATGTTGATGCGACTGGCTCGCATTGATCATTGAAAAAAAAAAAACAAAAAAAAATGTCTACCCACCCCTTACACTAGACACACGAGCGAACCACAAAGCATTGAAATCGTATTTTTTTTGTTGTCTTTGTCTAGTACGACTGGAAGTGGAGTTCTAACTTCAAGGAAGCTATAACCACTCACGAGTAAAATAATTCTCCGTTTATCAATAATGCTTGCATATTTATTTCTTGACTCGTACGTGATATGTTCTTGATAATGAACTGTTCATTGATTATACTTGGCTTGATTCGGTTTTGACTCTTGTAATTTATTGGTCTATTTATTGCACTGAGCACGTCACGAAATTACAGTCCCCCCCCTTATTCTCTTGATCTCATGATATAGTGCACACACGATTCGATTCGATTGGATTGGCTCACACTTTTCTTTCTATTTGCACTCTACCATTGCTTTAGTTATTGTCATAAATTCACCCATTTTCGGAAACGTGAAGACGCCCCCGCGGGACGTTTTCGCGTACTGGTGCAACTAGTCGAGTGCTACAAACGAGGACCAATAAATTATGGATTGAATGACGCTTAAGACAATTTTACCTTTTCCTTATAGTAAGGTGTCATTGGAAATGTCATCAAATTTGCACCACCATCGTTCAGTCGATCAACATCCATTCTCCTAGAAACATTGTAAAATAATTTAATGAAAGAATAAAAAGGAAAGTGCCTTGTCCTAACTACACGAAACGATGCTTTTAATACGACTGATGTTTATTTTATTTGATATTTTGTTTGGTAGTTTTACTATTTCGCTTGACTTAGTTATTTGACCCATACAATATACTTTACTAGTACATTATGGCATTCTGTAGTTCGAGTAGTTTAATTTTGAATGTACTTGTAAAGTTTCTGTAGCTTAGATTGTCGTAGCTTCTTTTGCTTATTATTTTGTAAACAAATTTTTCAAGTAGTTACGAGGAATTTTTCGGTTTTTGCCAAACTCTAACCTTACTATAAGGGAAAGAACTTATACTTGCATGTTTTTGCTGCCTGCCGGTTGCTGCATGTTTGCTACCTTTTCACCTTTATTTTTAACAGAATGTATGAATTTTTGCCTACGTGGCAACCTTATTATTGGTAAGAGTTAATTACTTCCTGCATGTACGCCACACACTTTAACGCTTCTTCTATTTCTTTTACTGACATGTCTATGAACATTTTATGATGTCTTGTATCGGTTTTTATTTAATGATTTAGTAATTGTTTCAGTTGGACTCACCCCATAAACTGTAGTTGACGTGACATTTATTTTTGCACAATGCGTTTTGTTCTTTTAAGGTAACCTTATTTTTTATTGGTTTTTTCGGCTGCGTCCGCAAACTTCGGTCTCTGCAAAGCTAACATTTCTTGAGTTCAATGCACACGGGTGTGAAACGGAATGGTGTCGTCAATGATAAATAATAAAAAAAAACAGTACTGAACGTGTTGCTTATCCTAAGCGCTATCTTGATGTCGCGCAGTATGGAAATTATATTTGATGATAGTTTTGTCGATTACTCAACAATAATTTTTGTTTGTACGGAAAAAAAAACAAACGCATTTCTTTCACCCATAATATCATTTCCGAAAGGTGGCATCTTGCCTTTGAATTAAGTGGCACGTTCGTTCTTTTTGCATTAGCACTAACTTTCCACCCAGGCACCGCAGCCCTTTTTCCGAACGCAGCATTTTCGTCTGCGACTTACGCATTTAACTGTCTCCGCTTGACCAAAGATTACGGACGTTCCTTACTACTTCCTGAGTTGTTTCGAAAACCTTGACCACGACATTAGTAAATGTGCTTGCATTTGTCTTCACACTCGGACTCGAGGTTCTCTTGCTGTTTTAATCCATATCGGTGTTTAGAGATTTTGTCGGTCTTTTGCCCGAACGTCCCGACGCTGTGGCCGATATCTCATTCTAAAATGTATTCCCATGCAGCCCCCTTCCGGCGCAGCACGTGTGGGGTCGCTCGGCGTCGGGGGAGACGCCGTCAACACCCCCGACAGTACCCAGCGTCCGGAGAACGCACTCGACGCTTTGCTAGACGAACTGCAGACATTTTCGAAACCCCACCACAACACCGAAGAGCCGCCCGCCGTCCCCACCAAGGGCATTCCTCCTAGCCACCCTCCGAACATGTCCGAGATCGGGCGGAAGGGCAGCATGGACTCGGCCACGTTCCTTCCCACGCAGAATTTAACCGTGAGCACGGCGACGGGCAGCCTTCGCCGCCTCCATTCCTATCCCAGCGGCTCGGACACGGACAACAGTCCCCCTATCCAACCGCAGAAGACAACCACTAAGCCGCCGATCCCCGAGCGAAACGCCGAGCTGTTGCAGCACATCACGGGACGGCGCGTGCCACCTCCACCGCCCCCGCGGACGAGCTCCAAGTCGCCGCTGGCGTCGCCCACGTCGCCCAGTTTGCCTCCCAGATCTCCGGCCGCCGGGTTGCAACATATCCAGAACGTGCAGAACATGGTCGAGAGCAAGGGGCAGTTCGCGGCGGAGAATAAGCCGCAGAGTCAGTTCGAGGCGGCCACGCAGAACCTAGGATTAGCGACCCTGCGGCGGAACGTTCCTAGTAGGTCTAGCGTGAAAGACAAGGCTCAAACTTTGCCTAGGAACATCGGCTCGAACCTGCAGATACCGCAGGAGAACGAGACGATCTCGGCGAGCAACAGCAGCAGCTGCGAGAGTGTCAACTCGCAGGATGGCTCGAAGAAGACGCGGAAGGAGGAGCTGGAGCAGAGACACCAGGAGCTGTTGAAGAAACAGAAGGCGTTGCAGGAGCAGTACGCGAGGCTGCAGCAGCTGCAGAGAGGCAACAATACGCTGGCGGTGGTGCCGCCTACTCCCGACCAACTCCTCAAGAAGACCGGAAGCGAATCGAATCTGCTCCAAAAGATGGGACTCCAAATGTCTACCTCACAGATCACCGGCTCGTTGACGAATCTTCCAAACACCACAGCGAATTCTGTTAACAAAAACACATTGACCAATACGCAGACGACTAGCAACAACGCGGAAGAACAGACCACCACTACGACGAATAAAGTTTACGAAACTGACATACTGTGACCAAAAAGACGATTGCAATCTGTATGTTGAAGAATTTGTTGCACTCGATATTCATATCACGACTGGATTGTTACTTTTGCTATTTACTCAGATTGAATGTAGTCAGTGTTTAATAACGGTTAGGGAATTTTATCCTTTTCGATCTTAATGTTTAATCAGAGGTGCGTAATTTTACGAGCGGACGTAACGCGACCCGGTTCCTCAAACTTGAAACGCTCTGTGGTTTCAAGATTTACTATTTGCTGCGACGAGCAGAAAAACAACGCCCAAATTTTACTTTTTCAATAAATACAAGTTTTTGTTCTCATTTCTTAAAATTCGTTAATCTAGTAACGAGCGCCCACTCGTAGTGTTTCCCTTTCTTTAGTCTCGCCAGATTCTGCGATGGGCATTCCTTGAGCGTTTGTAAAATTACGTACAATGAGTTCTAATTGAAGCGACGGTATTTGTTTCCTTCATTTTTATCAGAAATTCGTTATAACTCTCACAAAATTGTACATGTAATCACGTAAAGATTGCAAAAATTGTATTGATGCACTCATTGGATAATTAAAACACCACTAAATTGATTATACACGTTGTACATACTTAGGATGTTTCTTTCAATTTGGATTACGTTCGGTCGCTTTATGTACGAGTTTTTGATAAATTGTTTTTAAAGTTGTTGACTATTATATTGCTCAAACTATAAATTTACCATGTAATCAAAGATGTTGCACACTATATTTAACTGTGGTGTTTTCAGATGTTCAACCAATATTTTCTCGACGTTCTTTTTTAATTTCATACACTAAACCATTATTTTTGGTTGTTATCTTTAATAACCGCATTTAAAAGGAAATCCCAAGATGAATCAATTTATAAACATACTAATGTAATAAACTGTACCACAATAATCCACAATCCCCCACCAACAATGTGATTAATCAGTTTTGCATTTTTATATGTGCAGTAGAAAAAAAAGCAGAGTTCCCGTAGCTGATGTTTTACTACTGTCAGATATGTTTTTCTAAATCCTATCAACAAAATTCACACATGGCATTGTACAAAATCCAAAGCGTAAATGGCCACTAGAACGACTGGTGGGCTGCATGTGTATTTATTTCTGACGATAGAAAGAACAGAATACGCGCCAAAAACCCAAGACTAATAACCGATAACTTATGAATTACAAAACAGTATTATGATACAATGACGTTTTGTTTGTCATTAACGGATACCAACTCGGTGTAATTTTTGATCATTTATTTGCAACATAGTCACAATAGAATTAAGCGACAATTTCTATTTAAATGAATGTAAATAATTTTATTTGTTGAATGAGAAGTGGTGGCTGCTAAGTATTAGGTGCCAATGTAATTAAAAGTTGTAACTAAATAAAATAATTAATAATACTGCCTCAATTTTTTGAAAGCAGGAAATCGGCGATGTCGTCGGCGGTGTTCCAAATACACACCAGTGACTTTATCATGTACGGCTTCCCTGCATTGTCTACATATTTACCCCTTTTTGCCTTTTGTACAAGATCCAATAACTTGTAGTTGTTCCTAACACAAGCCAAATCATTCTCTTTTAAACGCAAAATGGGACAAAAATCGTTCGATCCATCCCCAACGTATACAAGTTTGTTATAGAATATACCGTTTTCCTGCTGGCTTTTAATAAACTCGTCCAATACCTTGCCTTTGCATAAATTCCGGGTGCTCAGCTTACACACATCTTGATCATCATACGGAGATATTTGAAACATACCTCCAACAATTTTAGTTGGATTGGTGAAGATTTCAGTAAAGCACGTTTCTAGTTTGTGTTTCTCCAACCATGTCTTAATAAAAACCGAGTTTGAATCGCTGACCACCACCAAGTCATAGTTCAGTTTCATCTTTAGGTTCCTGATGAGATCAACCATTCCACCAACGGGTTGCAAACTTTGGACGTGACTTAATATCTGCTCTACAGTCACACCTTTTTCATACATGTAGGTAAATATAGCCTGCATAAAAGCCGTCCAACCATCTGTAAATTGTATGTTCTTTATTTCTTGTGGAATTTCATTTTTGTCGACGAGTTCAAGAATGGCTGTATCAGAATTATCGTCTAGAATTGTATGGTCGAAATCAAATATAGCCAAATTTTGCATTGTTCGCTGAAAGCCTGTAAAATGATTGAAAAGTAACTTTTGGTGAATTGCATACAATTTTCATGATAAAAACCTTTAATGTGTGAAAATAGAAAAGAATTGCTCCTGGCGATGAAGCTACGTCATTTCGTTAGCGATTTACGTAATTCTAATTACTTATTATTAAGGATTTATGGGCATTTTTCGATTACATTCCGATTATACATAATAGATTCCCCATTCAACGCTCGTTACATGATGTCCACAGACCACACTTTGGTTATTTTGGTTCTTCACAGAACAGCCACTTTGGTTGAAAGCAGTTGAAATTGAAAGTTAAAAAAATGGTTAGAATAGTAGTTAAATCACAAAATCCCTGTCAAAATATTCAAATGAGATATTTAGGTTGATGGTGGTTGGTTCAGTCCGTCGTCTTCGTTGATTCACTATTAAAGTCTCTCCAATTGGTTACAATCGTCCGACTTGTCAAAAGGGAAAATATCAAAAGATGTCACCCCCTTCGGGAGTTATAGGAACCTGTAATTAATCCGTTTTGTCACGCTCCAAAACAGTTTGTGCTTGAATTGCTATTATCAAAATGTTCAAAAAATATTGCTCTGTGGCTGCTTGTGGGGTAATCAAGGATCCTAGAGACCACAAAATAATGCGCAGATTCCCTTCAAACACTGCGAACGAAAGGTTGTGGTCCAAAAAGGTTTTTAATGCTACAAGTAGGTACCCCAACATGAATCTTTTACCTAAGGGAATGTATAGCCATTAAAACCATTTCAGGTGATAATATTGCACATAATTTATACCTTTGTGGTAAACACTTTGAGAGAAGTTGTTATTATACAAATAAAAGACTTAAATCCGGCTCTGTTCCTAGTTTGTTCCTCCATGGTTCCAAGTCACCGCTACCTGTTCCTACTTCTTCAAGCTCCTCAGCCAGTACTAAACGTGATCCAGAATGCAGCTTCATAATTCCTGAGACACATTCCGATAACAATGTAAACACCTCAAAGAAAAATGTTCCCACTACATATCCCTTTGAACATCATTCACGCCCATGGCGTTGTGACTTTGGCACCGGTACAGAAATTTTGCCTCTTTTTCAAGTAAAAACCGAAATACATGATGTCAAATTGTGTCAAAAAGTCAGACCACGACAGACATTTAGCTGACATTACAGATTCCTTTCCCTCCCGACGTATGCGCCCCCACGTGTCACATTTAAGGGATTGGAGAGACTTTAATAGTGAATCAACGAAGACGACGGTTCAGTCAGAGACGTTGGTTGCATAGAAAAATAATGGTAGTGAAGTTAGTGAATAACAGGGAGTGAATAATGTCATATGTGTTAAACACAACTTCATAAAATCAAAAGTAACTAGGTAATATTCCCTGGTGCCTGTTTTTGATTGTAATGTTATTCTATGGTATTTCTTGCAGTTCCTTTCTTGTTCTTTGTTTGTTTCTGTGGTTTACCGTAAACATTTGATCGCAGAGTAAAAGAGAACTTATCGCTTCAGTAACAAAATATTATTTGAAAAATTAATGTTATGATTAATGTATAAAAAACCTTTGTGAATTTTAGGAAAGCGGTTTTGCGTTAATGCCAAAAACAATTACCTTTTAGTCAAATCAGTGAAGCAAGCCACTGGAAGGGCAGTATTTGAGGTTACAATGAACAGTAAGAAGATTGTCTTGTCTTCTACATAACTGGAGAATAAACAATGGCTGATCAGAATCAATTTAACGTTAGCAGCAGCAACCACGAACAAGGGGACGGTTCAGCAACTGCAGCGTTGACTAAAATTCATGCAGCGAATCCGAGCCACATTACAACAAAGTCATCTCAACCTGCTTCTCGACAGACAAATCTCCAAAGGATACAACAAAAGAAGCAAGCCGTTTTGGCTTTTCCGTATAGCAAAAAGTTGCTCAAACTAGCAATTTATTCCAAATGTCAAGTAAGTTTTAGATTTTAAGTAACATTTAGATTCTATGACATTTTTAGTTTATATTAATATGTAAAATAGAGATGATTGTATCAATTTTGTATAAGTTTCTGTAAGCACATATTTGTACTAATTATTAGGGTGAAAACTGCAATTGCACAGGATGGAAGAAAACAGAATCTGCTATTCAAGAACTCACATTTTCTGACCCCTGTAGATGTGAACATGCATTAGGTATAAAGAAACAAGAATGTTGCGATAATGATCTACACAGTTTTATTGCAGAGGCGCACATTTCACACTTACGTTGTAAAACAGAAGATGACTTAAATAGATTACTTCGAATGGTTGTGGATATTGATAACATGGGCACTGCAATGAGCCGGGAAGAAAACATGGACACTAAAAAAGTCTACACATATTTGTTTCATGTAAAAATTACTAAATGTACTGCAAAAAACGAAAAACAAAGTTTCAATTTTAGTTACTAAGGAAATGTATCCTCACTCTTGATACTCCAATTGTTGAAAGTTCTCTAGGACAGCCGCCTTTTGAACAACCGTGCATTCACAAGGCAGTAACTAATTTATTGGTGTACAAATTTTCTCATTTGGCACAACAGGAGTGGAAGACAATGTGTGAAGTGGCGCGAATACTTCTTCATTGCTTGAATACGTGGGAATTTCCATCACCGAGTTCTCAGAAACACATTGTCAGTCAAGAAGAAGCCAGCGTTTATAAAATGGAACACACCAGATGGTTGGTGTTTTGCAATGTTCCCACATTTTGTGATTCTCTTAAACATTATGATACAACTATGGTGTTTGGGCGTACTTTGCTTCGAGCCGTTTTCAAGTACATGAAAAAACAAATCATGGATCAATTTAATAGAGAAAGAGATAAAATGCCCCAAGAACGACGGGTAATGTTACTCACTCATTTCCCTCCGTTTTTAAATCAGTTGGATGAAGAAATTTATGCCCAAGATTCGCCTATATGGGATCCTGAATTTAAACACGGCCCTTCTACACATTTTCAACCTTTGCTGGAATCAGGGAAAATAAAAAGTAATTTATTTGATCTTTGTTTCATACTGGAGTCACTATTTTTTTTTTACTTCTGTATGTAGCTAATGCAGTATTAGCCAAAAGAGGATCTAACGAAGTAGATAAATCAATTGCACTTAATGAAAAAGATGGGTTTTTATATGCTTCAAAAACTAGTAGAAGTTGTGAAGGGCAAGGACGAGAAGCCAAGAGAAAAAGACTTGCTCAAGATGAACATTTTGAAGATATTTCAATGGAAACGGTTGCTCAGATTATCGCCACAATTGACGATCCAAATTATATGACTGGTCCAGATGTAAATATATAGAAAGTCATGCTTTCAAAGACTAAACGCTGTGTTTTCAGTTGATTTTTTCGGAAAATGCACCAGCTACAGATGAAGCTCCAAAATTAGAAGAAAAACGCAAAGTTATTGAAATGCACGTCATAGGAAACAGTTTAACTGAAACTGTATCGAAAGAGACGATGTTGTGGTTCATTGGGTTACAAAATGTGTTTTCTCATCAGTTGCCTCGAATGCCAATAGAATACATCACTCAGTTACTGTTTGATCCGTATAGATTTTATTATTGTTCACTTTACTGCATATTAAATTTTTCTTTTTCCAGAAAACACCGTACAATTGCGTTAATAAAGGAAAATCGCCCAATTGGTGGAATCTGTTTTAGGCCATTTGAGACGCAGGGCTTTACGGAAATCGTGTTTTGTGCAGTGACTTTTAGTGAACAAATTAAGGGCTATGGTACGCATCTGATGAATCATTTAAAAGACTATCATATTCGTAAAGGAATCCTGCATTTTTTAACTTTTGCTGATGAAAACGCAATTGGTAATTGGAATACTGAAAATACGCTCAATAATAATTGATTTCTGTTCGTCCAGGATATTTTGAACGGCAAGGATTCTCAAAAGATATCAAATTAAATAGATCCATTTATCAAGGTTATATTAAAGATTATGAGGGGGCGACACTTATGCACTGCGAATTAAACCCAAAAATAATCTATACAGAATTCACCTCAGTAGTTAGGAGACAGAAAAAATTCGTCAAACAGTTAATTTATCAGCAACAACGAAATGTATCAAAAGTTCATCCTGGATTGACCTTCTTCAAAGAAGGTGAAACATTTTTGTTAACATTTGAAATCAAGTTGTTATTGTACTTTGAATTTAAGGAGTGAAAAATATTCCCATAGAATCTATTCCTGGCTTACAGGAAACAGGTTGGAAACCAGCTGCTCGCGCTACCAGGGGCGCTCAACAGTTGGAGGAATCTCAAGATATCGAAATTCTAGCAGACATGTTGAAAAACGTTCTGGTTGCTGTTAAAAATCATGAGGATTCGTGGCCGTTCCGATTACCCGTTGACAAAAATGAGGTGCCCGATTATTATGATCACATTAAATATCCTATGGGTACGGTGGACATTTTTGTTTTCAAAATAAGAATCGTTATTTTATATTTTTTTTCAGATTTAAAAACCATGGCAGAAAGGTTAAAATCCAGATATTACGTTTCTAGACGGCTATTCATTGCAGACATGATGAGAATTTTCAGAAACTGTAAGATTTACAATTCTCCCGAAACCGAGTATTACCAATGTGCTGTCAATTTACAGCAGTATTTTCAAACAAAAATGAAAGAAGTTGGATTGTGGGACAAATAAAAGTTGTTTAAGATAAAAACCAATATATTGTGTTCTACATAATAAACAGTTTTATACAATATTATTACATAATAAAACGAGTATCAATAATAATATAGTAGTAATAAAAATGACTAGCAAAATTCGTACTGCATTATTTCAAATAAACTATAAATTTCACAAAAAACATTTTTGTGAATTTAACAATAGCTGCACTCAAAGATCAATAAAAACAATATCCATCACGAGAAGAAAAAACAAAGAGCTAAACTGGGATCCAACAATACTTTCTCAAGAAATAAAGTAAATAAATAACGTTAGTCGAGAAAAAACAAATACTTCATAACAGATTCATTCAAGTCTCCTAAGATCCACCTAGGTAAATATTTAACAAACGTCGTTACATTAAAATCAAACAGTTCCTTAACTGATATAAAATATTTTCCGCTACATATAACATTCATCCTTGCTTTAAAATACACTAAGGACTTTTAATACACATTCAAATCGTCACGAAGTCGTGCTGAATGAAGGTTTTAGTCAAACGTTAAAAAAAATACACGTACGTTCGATTTACCCTATTTGATCGTGCCATGTGTCATTTATGAAGGCGTTATACTTAAGAGTAATTCGTAGATACTCCGCAACTAGCAAACGTAAATGATGACGAAAAGAAGGCTGTACAGAAGAATTTCCTTACACGCATTAACGATTTCGACGTAACGGGAATTGCAAATTGAAGCGATCGGAAGCTTTAAAGCTACGTGCCCACTTGCCGAAATCAGTTCGAAAAACTGTGGTCGAGTGGATAAGCAAAACTGCGTCTACCCGAGTTCTAAGAGCGACTTTCACAACCCAAACAAGTTTGAAGTGCGATCTGCGAAAAGACCGTTTACATGTTTCATTGTAATAGTATCTCAATTGCAATTATAGACCTCTGAAATATGGAATGCCAAATTAACACAACAAACGGTATAAAATTAAAATCAAAATTCTCGTGCGAGTTACTCTCAAGTGGATACGTAGTTTAACACAATATTGGATGCAAATTTCTTCTCGCCCTGATCAAAAGAATAAAATCGGGGAAGGATGTTGTATGTAAGAAAATTATACCGCGTTCAAATTTTTCCCAACAACGTTTACGGTTGTATTTCCGGGGGAGCTACAAATTGCGCTTGAAAGTTTTATACTAAACTTATGTTAAACAATACTAGTTTTTAATGGCGTAATTTAGAGTCTCACGACTAGAAACGGTACGTAAAAACAAACTACGTGTGCTAAATACTGCACTCATCACTATCATTTGATGATTCTTCCTGATCGGCGTCCAACACTGTGTCAAGATTTTGTGAAAGCAGGTCGTCCTCAGTCCCTTCATCGAATGAGCTGCAATACGAACGATTTAAGCGTTATGCAAGCATGATGCAACAAACTTTTTTTTTGCTAGGTTCAATCATCCACATGTTGCAGCGATAATTAGCATGAGAAATGTAAGCGAATGATGATGTTGGATTAGTAGATGAACTGATATCGTCCAGATCGGTTATTATATTTCCATTTAGATGTTAGACAAAACTTTAAAAATTTTCGTAACGACATTTCAATACCACAATCATGCTACAGCATATGCCGCGACTGTTAGTATCTTTGTAAATCTTAAGCGTTATTGTTCTTACAAAACGATTTCTTACCCTGTCAAAGCCACAATCGTACTCCCTAAATACAAGCAAATATCAATAAAAATTACAACACAAACCGCCAGTACCAAAAATACCCAGTGTTATAGCAAAATGTACAGAGAAAATAATCATTGATACTCACAGACTGTCTTGCTGATCATTTCCGCCTTCTTCCGCTACCAATAATTCATACTCTTCTGCAGCATACCTGTCCCAATCGGACATCTGTAACGCAATACAATCAAACGAAAAAATCAAACCTATAAAGATTTCTAACCTCTTGCCCATCGATATCGTGGTCTCTCTGCGACGCAAACGGGTCTCGTTGCTCGTGGTCCAAATATTTCTCTAGATTAAAGAATGTATCAAAAAAGATCGACGTCATTCTGCATTTCTTTAAGTCACTTAGGGCGATTTTTCCTGGGCACTTGGGCTTAACCATGTCCAACATTTGGCACAGACAGTCCTTAAAATGACAACGTTACAAAAACTGTTCAAAATATCTTTGCGAAAATTTACTTGGAAGGGTAAGGTTTCGATGCCGATGGCTTCCATTCTTTGCATTTGCTCTTCATAAAAGTATTCGAGTTCATACATTGACAAGTAACCGTCACCATCGAGGTCCATGCAACGAAACCAATATTCTATAGCGGTAGGATGTATTTTATCCTCCTCGCTTAGCAGGAACCATACGAATTCCGTGTAGGACATTTTCTCGTCATGCTGTGATCTTTTTTGTCCCCGTGTCACACAACCACTGAATATGCGATCTATAATTCTCGTCGAAAGAGCTAAAAAGAAATAATAGAAACTGATAAGACATCAGCAGGACAAAACTTACCGTGATCGTTATGCCTGGTTAGATCCTGTTTGTCTATGAACAAGTCGTGATCACGATCTAGTTCCCAAAACTTGCAGTAAATCACATAGAAGTGTTCATAACTGAAATAGTGAGTAATTTGATTAATATCTTCTTCTTCCTCCAACAGCTGGATGACGCCCAACAGATTGGATCTTCTGAGTTCTGGAATAGTAATCTTTCCAGACCAAGACCGGTTGACGCAATAATAAATCCTAGCGATAACCGTATGCACGTAACGAGAATGAAATTCCGTAGCTTCCTTAAGAAACGTTAATCCTGGATGAGTTTCAACCACGTCTTGTATCAACGGTATGAAGTCTTCTGGGGCTAACCAATTTCGGCGACCTCGAGTTAAGATATATACAAACCTAGAAGCTGCATCGTGCGAATTGCTAGCCATTCTGCAAGGAGAGATGTTTTAAAAGAGACAAAAACAAACAAAAAATGACTTGCCCCGTCCAGAAGTTGATGAATTGTTCTTGCGTACAACTCCCTTTATCTGCACAGGCCGCCAAATATAAGGGTGTCTTCCAGTATAGAGGCAACTGACACGCCGTGGTGATCGCAGCAAAATGCTCCCTTGTGGCTCGATCACCAATGCTAGCAAAAGTCGACGTCATTTTGCTCTTCACCACATCCAACTGACCTGGAGGGCCTGGTTTGCCGGTTGGAAAATGAAAACGCGGTATATTAACGTTTCTATGAGCACGGATATGCCTTTGAAGGGTGGTATGTTGGAGCGATTGTTGTTTCGGTGGGGCCTGCATTAGAATTTTAACTGACTAGAAATATACCAAAATACACTTAAAAAAAAATCAGTAAGCAAAAATAACTGTGAACACTACATTCATTGTTACAATACGTGGTTACTGTGGTTGCAATTGTTTTATAAAAGTTTATTTAGTTTTAATTATGCTTTTAATTGTCTATACTCATCAAAAATCATAATTTTTGGTACACGATATTTTAAAAAACTACGATAATTTAATATGAAACAAATTGTTCTATTTTGATAGAAATATGTAACTACGCTGTCTAGGGTACCTACCTGAGGTTTCACTAGTTGTGTTGGTGGAGCGCGCACTCTTTTATCCAAAAGCAAATCGCTAGGACATCTTTCGAAAATCAAAACCCTCTCCGCCACCGAACCTCGTGTTAGGAAAGGCCTTATCGGATTCGCAGTTGTCTGTCTTAAATGTTGACGTTGGATGACCGTGAGTTCTGGATGTGGTACTTGCTGCTCCGTTCTCCTCGCGCTCCTTAAGGCCCATTTCGTGTTATTTTCTTTGTCTTGATCTTTGCTCGTGTTGATATTGTGGGACGACCGTTCGTTAACGAGAACTCCGTTTTTGAGGGCGTTAATTAACCTTTTCTCTTCAATTGTCACTTCATCGATGGTCGTTTGCCTGTTGGGTAACGTATTAAATTGCAGTTGTGGTTGATAATCCGTCGACCGCACTTCGGAAGCGGTCTTCTTGACAGCGTCAGTTGTGATGACCCGATTTTTTAAAGGCCATGTTTGTAAGCCGAGAGGATTTGCGTCTTCTGGCAGTGTAAACTCGATCGTTTCGGCGAAACGGGGCTTTGGAGAGATTTGGGGTTTCTGGCTGATGGCTGGTTTTGTCGGGTGAACCTAACATCGCCTTTATTAAAATTTAATAGTAACGAAAACGTAAACTGCTACACTATTATTTGGTTTACAATCTTTAGAATACATTTTTTGTACGTTATAAACGACATTAATTAAAATTTGGAACGTCGCGAATTTTACGCTTTCGCTAGCGAATCCGAATGGTCCATGACTTACTCTTGAAAGTAAGTTAACTGTTAAAAGTGTAATTGTTTAAGTCGTTAAAACAAAACAAACTGAACATCAACTTGTTATACAAAATACATATCGTTTTGATTATCAAAATGGAGTATAACATGCAATAGTGTAATTTCCTCCGTGCCAAATTTATGAGGACCTCGCCCAACATCAATCACATCCTTCGATCGAGTATCGATAATTACTTTAATTAGGGCGGAACCGAAATTTATGGATAATCGTGGTTATGCAGGAAGTGATCACTAATCATCAATCTTCACTAAATTTTGAAAGCAATGCATGCCAATTAAAAACTATATTTAGTTTCGTTGACAACTTAAAAAGAACTACCGCTTTATATTTTGTAATCTCTAACATCACTTTACAACTATGGGTCCGAATATCTAGCTACATATTGTTATCAAGTCATAAAAAACCTCGGTTAACGATCCAAAGAAAGTCCCAAAAAAACACAAGTAATTAATACAGTGTATTCAATTTTTGATTTTTAAATTAACACTCGTACGGCAATGGACTTTTACGTGACTAATTTGCTGTTTTTATAACATTGTACGCTCAATATTCAATTCAAGTTTAGTTGACAGCGCAAAGAGCCCTTGAATAATGCACTCAAAAAAAAAAAAACCACCACTGCGGTATTTCCGTCTTTTTAAAAATGTTTAAATGTGTTGTAGGGCGATGTTGATTAAAAAAAAAAGTGAATATTGTGATCACATATTGTACAGGTAATAAAGTAAGTTTTCATGACCCTACCAAAAATAAAATAGATCCCCATTTCCGTCTATCTGCGTCGATTTTTATTAGACAGATCATCTCCGAAACTACTAGACCGACTGTTAAATTTCATGTGTTTTATCAATATCGTGTAGATGGTAAAACACTAGCCACACTTCGCCTAAACATCCCACCGATAATGTGATGCCATCACTTTAGAATTGTACATAGTATAACTCTTCTATATTTAAATTTTATAAAATAACATATTCCAACACGTGCAGTCTATGAATCCGTCTTGATTTTTTGTCCTAGGCATGCAGATTTTAGGAAAAAAAAAATCTAAATTGTATAACATTACAATTTAACTCGGAAGCTGCAAAACCGAATACTCTGAAATCTTGCAAACACTTTAAGATTATAGTAAGCATGGTAAATGTTACATCAAAATGTTTGTCGTTACTGTATACGTTAGTTATATATCTATACTGTGCTAAAATGTTGACGATCTCACCATAAAATTTTGTAATGGAAAAACTTAGTGGAAACATACGCACAGCATGCTTCTTACCTGTACTTTAACGCTCCACAAATATTTTTATTGCAAGTTATGGGGGTTATCACAAAAAAATCTCAAAACTAAAGTTTATATATAATTTCTTGAAGAAGCAGTTATTTGTTCGACTGTACTTCAGGAGCGAGGGAAGTTCTACCTAACCACCTTGGACCCATTTGTTTTTTTATAATTTAAATTGTCAGTGATGTTTAAATATTTATAACTTAAATATTAAATAATAATAATAATAATAATAAAAAAGGAATACATGCGAACTGACAAAAAACGTTGAACGCGAATTGAGCCACAGATAGAGTATCTTACCTCGCCCGGCGATACACTAATGGGAGACTTTACGCCATCAGAATTAAAATTGTTAGATTTGAGCGTATTTTTCTTATTCGCCTCAGGTTGCGGCGTATTTTTTTCGAATTTTTGAAGAGCGTACTGTATACTTGAAGGCATTGCTTTGTTTCTCGCTGCCAGTCGAGCTTTATCTTCTACGACGAAGTTCTTAACGAGTTTTTCTAAACGATTATTGTCCATTGTAGGAGCCTGAGCCAACAGTTCTATCGAAGGTTTCGCTGGAGGCTGTGGTTTTAACATCGATCTAAAAAAAAGCAATAATAAAGTATACTAATTTCATTTGAGACACACCTGTTAAAACTTTTATGACTTAAGCGGCTTAAGCCAAACCACCCTTATAAGTCAAACTGGCTATTGTAAGCTTTGTGGAACCGAACCGCAAGATTATTACTGTCCATTGTTGGCATAATGTAGCTGTGAACTGAGTTAAGTAATTCAACAGCCAGTTTGACTTATAAGGGTGGTTTGGCTTAAGCCGCTTAAGTCATAAAAGTTTTAACAGGTGTATCTTCAAATGAAGTTACAGTATTTTTAGTTCTCTCGGTAAAAATATGATGGAACAGGATGGTGAAGGCTAACGTAACAGAACATACACAAAAGGCCTTACCCCAATTTAGTTGTGTCTCCGACAGCATGACACGTGATTAATTCTGCCGGAGCTAGACCCCTTGATTTCCAATTTTGATAGATCGCTTCTGCTTGGTCTGAAATTTGTTTAGCTATCGCAGCAATATCATCATCGGGATCTCGTCTTCGGGCTGTTGTGGCCATTTTTTGAACACAAATTGTCATAAAATTATCTTATCTTGAGAAAATTAAAAATTCGAGTGTATCTAAAGGTGCCATCGTGCTGGCATGTATCTTCTATGCTCAGTTAATTACGACGAACTTGACGACCTGTAACAAAAGCAGTGAGTTGAAAATAAAATCAATCGACAGCATTATGCAACAAATTTTGTAAGGTTGAACGTCATTTCCATTGGTCAATAACAATTCATCGATAGATACAGAAAAATATGGCTAAGAAAACATAGGCGATATTACTAATGACGGAAATCGAGTTTATGCTTTGTAATTGTTGTGTTTCTCCATCGACTGAAGAAAAAATTGAAAATAAAAAATATTTAGGCCAAAATATAATTTTTTAAATATTTATTTGTTTTTTTCAACTTTAGCCGCTGCTGTCAGTTTTTGAAGAACACTTGTAGGAACGGTTTTTCCGACAAACTTCGGACGGCAGAACACACTCTATTTCTGAAACGGCGAGGAATGCTGCCAAAGATATCCCCGTACACCGCTCGTATTAAACCATCTCATCATTTGTTTACCGAGACAAAACAAGATCGTGATAGAGAGTTCGCGAATCTACGGTACATAAAAAAGCTAAAAAATTCCACCAGCTTCATTAATCGAAATGGTAAAATATTGTCTTCTAGAGTGGGATGTAGTCACAGTTAAAACTCAGGAATATGCTTACACTCCAGTGATAATTCTTCAACTAACAACGAAAAAAATATCATACATAAAGCACCGTTGCGATTTTTTAAATCTCTCCAGGAAATTCAACGCTGTATAAGATCATTTTTTTAAATTCCCGATGGTTTAGTAAATTGACGACTAGCAGGAAGACAAATGGCACGTCATTGATATGTATCTATCGTGTAAATCGTGTCTTACCTAACTTCTTCATTTCAGAATATTTCCACAGAAAACTTCATCATCCACGTTTTTCTGAAAATAAAAAAATTCAGTCAATACATGCATACCGTGTTATTAAGTTAAATAAAAGCACCCACACAGTTTGTTATTTGTGTAGAAAAGCATATATTACATCATTATTTAACATACTTGTTGTATGATATACTGCAAGTGTGATTTAAATGGACTTAACACTCACATGCGTTCTGACGTTTTGTTTAATTAAACTAAAAAGTAAAAGCAGTTTTGACACGGTGCTTGCGAAATCGGGTTTTTAAATAATTGACAAATAAAGAAATATATGTTTAAATCGATGTGCTAAAATGTATATTTCTTTTATAAAATTCAATGACGAAATAAACATAAAGCTTTCTAGTGAATAATTAAAAAAAAAATGAATTAACATGAATTAGACTCAGGATTCTGATTAACTGTACTCCCTAGGTGCAATGTAACACTTTAAATTTTTTGCACTCTGATTACGAACGATGTAATATCTATCCATACCTTACTCATTTGCATTTTATTGTTGTCCATAAAAGCAACCTACGCAGAGCACTTGACCCAATAATATGATCCCCACCAAAGCAGAGGAACGCAAATCTTGTCAAAGTTTATAACAATTTGTTGCGTCTGACGAACAAGGAACGAGAAATACCGAGGTCACAAAGCAAATTTTTGTGGGCTCCTCACGATGAAGACCGAAAATAAATGTTTCTCTGCGTTAATATAATTTAATGGCTATTTAAGTTTTAATCTGCTCCTAGAATACAGCCCACGTAAAAATTAAATCGACCTATTTGAGCGGTTTACTTAAATTGGTGTACGTTACATTTTGAATATCACGTGCGGAACTCTACCAGAATAAGCGCATCATAACAAAACCACGAGTTAATTCTTGCAGAAAGTAAGTTAAAAAATTAAAGGCAGATTTTGTCTCATCGATGTCCTTGCTCATGTGGTTAAACTCTAGCGCATTTAGTTGGCGGCTGGCACAAAACACCAAAACGATGCGCTCCAACTGCAAGGGGGGGTATAAACCGACATCAACTACTGTTAAATAATGAAAATGCGATGATTGTGCGTATTTATTGTTGAGGTTCCACAGAAAATTGACAGATATTGTAAACATTCTCTGGGAACTCTTCAATATGTTGGGAAGATTAAAATATATATAAATATTGCCCTATTACTTTTTATTAAAAATGTTAAAGAGATAAAAAAATCTTAAATTAAATGATGTGATAATGCACTATTAGTACATCATTTACCTACTTTGGTAAACCATTGTGTGTGATTTTATTACAAAGCGATAGAAACTAGATAGATGTTTTGTACAGCATTCTGATGAATGTTTCTTTTCATATTTTCTTGGTTTGCCGTTTTAGTTTCACGGTTAAAAATATTTCCTTTTTTTTTTTTCAAAACGTACACAGATAACATTTTGTATGTTACACTTCCGTTAACGCAATAAACCCGTGTTTCTACACAAGTCGGCAAGTGCCTCTCGTGAACAAACTGAATATTAGGACATGTTATAATATTTAAACTCGTTGGCTTTCTGATTTTACTACAAGTGAGATCTCTTTCAAATATTTTGTTCATGGTATCAGCCTCCTAAACCTTTAGTCATGTGTCATGTCTCCCGTACATACAACGGGAAAATAACAATCCCATTTCAATTGAATGCGACTTCTCGCCAGTTTTCAAAGTTCAGGAATTGAAATTATTGAATTAGTTAAACTTTAATGACGACGCTCACTGCATTTTTTTATCTATCGGTAGTAGTAGGTATAATTCTACACGGTATAAGGAACAAAAAATATAAACGAGTTTTAAATAATTTCTGATTTGTAAGATTAGCATCCAGCAATCTTGGAATTTCGTACTGTGTGCACTGTTGTACATACATATTTATATATATAGTAAGAAATAAATAAATAAAGTGATTTTCTTCTCATCGACAAAACAAATGCAGATGTGCACAACCGGTAGGTGCAGCGATAACTTCGTCCGTTGCCCTTTTCCGACAAATTTTTTGGCAGCGTTATGACCCAGAGCTTCCAAATATAAATCAACAATGATGTTATGGAGTAAATGCAACAAAAAATATTTACAAATTATACTGCTCGGAAAGAAGACTGTCTACACGTTCTTTCATTTGTTAGCGTCAGAGTTTTGCCTCTTTTTATTGTACGAGGCACATCCAGAATATAGCGGATATACAAAAACTAGTCCCACACCCTGAAAAATGTTTAGCGATAGATGGACATCATGTGAAAAAATTGGTCAATATTTGAGTGTATAAAAATAAATAACTGCTGTTATTTGGATAATTTATTTTTGTATTAAAGCAAAACGAGTAGCACTATTGGGATGCACCTCGTACATAAATATCTTAAAGAATTTCGATAGGTAAATGTTTCGTTTGTTTACTGCGAAAGTTTAAGTGTTAAGGGATAAAAAAATATGTCACCTGTGAACAATCGTCTAAGTAAATTACAATTTGTTATTAAATAAAAAACGTACGTAGGAATACTTTCAAAAACCTACGCCTTGCATGCGCTGCCGTCCCACAAAAGGTAAAGCGGCGCTTCCCACCACAAATAAACGACAAGTCGAGCTGCAAAACATCTGACGACAGAAATAAACGCCTTATCACAATAAACAAGCCACATCCACAACAGGTAACAATATCAAAAACAGAAAGAGCACGTGTTAACACGTCAAATCGATAAACACGACTTCTGCCAGAGTCCAAATTGTGTAAAAAAGCCCCAAATGTAATTAAGATGAAAATAGTATAAAGAGCACGACAGCTTATTTATAGCAGTAAGCTAAAGATATGCACGAATGAGATTTTAGACTCGTCTTTGGATGTTCTTCCGGTGGCAAGTTTTCGGAACGGTAAAGAGTAATATACGGCACATTAGCAAAACTCACTCACCTGCAACGGTGGCCGTCGGTTTTGACGAATTAATCCAAAAGCAAACGACGACTCGACCACGCAAGATGCACACAGACATCCACCGCAACTAGGAACTTCGGGTTTTAAAAGGAAGAATTTGATATAGCACGAAAAGGTAAACACGATTTGCACCAACTTTTCTGGACGGATTGCGCAATTTATGAGAATTTTAGGCTATTGTACGTACGTACGTAAAAGAATTTCAACATGATCGTGATGATCTACAACAGTCACCAACACATCACCACTGCGTGACATCACCGTGCGGCCACACCGTTTAAAACTATCCAGCGTGTTTAATCCGGACACACTAGAGACAGAAGACTACATGCAATAACAATAATAGCACAGATCCATATGATAGGTACATATACAATACATATATAACAACGTGCTATTTTAGAGCCACCTATTGTGGTAACAGACTAAAGAAAACGGCTTTATCGTGAAGTCAGTGACATCTATTAGACATTTAGTAAACTTAAAAGCAATCCAACGGAAAATCAAAAGTTGAGAAGGTCGTGGTTGATGTCCTGGCAACATAGTAGAAAACTACATCACAGTCATCACACTTTTTGCACAGGTGAACGGATGAACGAGTTCAACTCATCGAATTCATATACACCGATAATATACCTCTCTGCCACAAAAATTTCAAAGGAGTCGTGCATTAGTTGGGTAAAACTGGATGATTCAAACAATACTGCAATGTTTTGTATCAATCAGTTGATCATATATATCACAACACGGTATATTCTTAACTGTAGTGTTGAAATTATATTCGCCTCTTGTAAAAAAAATATTTTGCATAAAATATCCTGTGAATTCCCGTATAGTTTGTTTTCCACCAACCGCTGTCGGTTGGCCGACTTGGTTGTACTTGCACGATTAGAAAACCGAAGATAAACGAACGACAAATGTTCAGAGCAGAAAACATAGTTCAGAGCATGGTACAATAAGATATATATTTTAGCCATGGTTCAGAGTATTTTTTAGCAGTGGTTGGTTGCAATGGTTGCATGTTGCACGAAGTGGGTCTGATTAGATTGCTAAATATATATTGGAAGTAGTTGTATAAAAACTCACGATGGAAATTAGCAAAAACAACACTGTGTGCAATTGATGAAATTGTTTGCTAGTGTTGTTTAATTGCAATTTGTATCGAAATCATTTTGTTAATTATATGACGAAGAAAAACGCAAACGTGGTAAAAATGTTTATACATACTTATCATTTCAATATTTACATTCATGTTGATGTTTTTACAAAATAATCTATAAATGTAAATCTAGGGCAGAATGCAATAAATAGAATAATACTATTAATTAAATACTCATCGTGGATTGTAAAAATAAATAAATAAATGACTTTATCAACTAAACGATCGTTGGCAATACGTATTCATTTAAAAATCAGTCACATTCTCTGAAAGTTACAACATATTTTGTGTGCTGTGTATTGGTTTTTGTCCTATAAAATTGTTAACACAAAAAAAAGCAAACGGCACTTCGTAAATTGAACAGGTGTGATAGTAATTTGCTTGAATTCCTAATTTATTCCTATGTCAAAGTGGAAAATTATGTATCATTTTTTTGTATTCAGAAATAATCAAGCTAAACACGAATTAAGTTGCACATTGTTCAGTTTTTTCATATCAGTCCAGTCCATAATGGAGTCTTCGATTTTAAATTTGCGGATACAGCCTTTAAAGTTTTCTTTAATCTTCAGCGTTCCGCTAGGTGCATTACCTGAAATTAAAAACAAAAATTCAAGATTTTGGTACTTGTTTATGTGTTACGTACTCGGCAAACCTCCAACATATAGAGGTGCTTCGATCGCATCAACCATCGATGTGATATCAGATTGTACCCAACTCTTTCTGACTCCGTCAACATTGACGGTTAGTTCTGAACTTGAATAGAGAGCTGTGATGTTATGCCATTCGTTATCGGCAAGAGATGAATCTGAATGTGGACTGTTAGTCACTTGCGAAATAATACCATTGCCCATGTCGATGGTCATCACTACAGCTCCATTTTGGAGTTCAACCGACAAAGCCGGACTATTTCCTAAATTCGATACACTTAGGAGTATTCCGTTCGGTTCGCCGGTTTTAAATTCGAAACTCAGTTCTAAAAATTTGTTCACTTTGAAGGTGTATTCTGTAACAAATCATAAATTGTGAGTGAAAGCAAACGGAAAATTGAAACGATAACGGCACTTACTATAAATGGCAAAAGCGTCGCCGCCAAAGTATGCGCCCTCCTCTACATTCTGGAAGCATTGCCCGATGTTACTATACACAACATTGTTATTGTTTTTAACAACTTGTGCATTCTTGTTGATTTTTAAAGATCGTATACAACCCCGAAATGGATGCAGTTCGTTTTTCTAAAAAAATAAAATTAAGTTGATACGTTATTACGTATACGCAACATATTTATTACCAGTTTTTTATGAACTGGCAAAACGTGGGCGACGCCACCAAAGTACAACTCCCCGTTGAAACTATTCCGCAACAATCTTTCTTTCAGTTTCCATTTTTTATCGACTTTCACGACCAACCTCCATTTTTTCTTGCCGAGAATTTGTTCAACTTGCACGTAGTGCCACATGCCGTCATTAATTTTTACATTTGTTTTCATTACCTTTGTTTTATGGCCTTGAACTTGCAATTTTATATCACCTCCTTGAATTTCCAAAATAGCGTAATAAGTCAAGTTTTTAAAGTGGGACTAGAAGAAAAGGCTTATAATTTTCAAAATTACTTATATAATTATACCTACATTCGAAACAAACAGAACTCCGTTCGGATAGAACGTTCGGAACTGAAATTCCAAAATCAATCTTTTTCCTACGGCGGGATTTTTGATCAAAACAAAACTGTTTGGTTTATCTCCAAACTTAAATGCAAAAGGTTCAGTTCTATAATCAGGCGTAAAATATCTCTCTGTGTTTTGCATTTCTCTTATCGATTCATTTCTTGCAAGAGTTCTATCTCTGCCGATTTCTACATTTTGAAAAGACTGGACGTTCGCAGTATTGAATAAAATAGGCCTAAAAATAAATTAATAATTTTTTATTATCAATAATGCAATATATTGCGTTTAAAAAGTAAAATTGTATTCATCGGACAAAACAATGTACTTTATTTATGATCATTATCTGACTTTATAAGTCATGTACTGGATAGTGAAACGACTTTGATGCAGAGGGCTTTCATACGGAATTCAAATTTGAAATATAGTGAACCAAGAGCTATAAGGTTATATGGCCATCATAAAATCATCCCATTGTGTCGAAGTTAAGTTGTTTACAATAGAAAAGGTTTTAGGGTCGTAAATAACGAGTCCACTACAGCTCGACCGGCTCTTGCGGTTTCGTTCAGGGGCGGCTTTCACTAAATATGAAAATCCACCACTCCACTATTTCTTTGCTACCTGCAGCCGCTGAGGGTTCCGAAATAACCACTCGCTTTGAAAGCCGGCCCTGTTAAATATGAGCAAGAAATGTTTAGAAGATGATTTATTGGCAACCGGTAAGCTTAGTGTGAACCACACAAAGGGGGTATTTATTTGCGGTCAACTATTTTATGATGGCCATATAACCTTATACCTCTTGGTTCACTATAAAAACAAACATTTATTTCTGTGACGCGCTACACCATGGGAATCTTACCTGTCACCAACAAAAATATCCCCAATATTTCCTATAAAACTGGAGTAATTTTTATTCGTACTGTGGTCACCTAGGTATACACTGTTTTCCTCGCGTAAAATATTCGAAATAGACCAATCTTTGTAAACGCCATTCACTGTAACGCTAGTTTTATTAAAGTAAATAAAATTGTGCGCGTTGGGATGAATGGAAGTAAAATTCACAACTTTTCCATTTTGTCGGAAGAATAAGTTTGAATTTTGCAAGTAAACGTCTAAAATATCATTTACATTCATTACAAAATTATTGTGAATATTAACGGGTTTAATCGTGAAACCCATTTCTTGTTCATCCGCATTAAATTTAAGATTTACATGACCGTTCCCAGGAAACCAAGTTTTGTCAAATTCCAACTAAAAAAAGCAGTCTTGAAATATTTAAATCTCTCAAAAGTCTTATTTACTTTCTCGTGTCTCGGTTCAACGCCTGCCGATAACGTATTTTGACTCTTGACTTCTAGCTTATTATTTGATTCCGCCACTTTCAAATTTCCCAAAAATGACGTAGTATTAATAGGAACGCAACTTGCGTTAGTTATGCTTGAAATCCCTCCTACGAAAATCGCCGATTTCCTTATTTTATATACATTCTCCCTCGTTAAACGGTTAGTCTTTTCCTTTTTTCCCGGCTCTTTTGGAATGAGCACATTAAGGGAATACGTTTGTCGATTTGCGTCAGAGTCATAGATCAACGATATGTCAACCTTCGTGTCTGTACCAGTGTTGTGTTTTTGAAAAGATCTTAACGTTATGTTGTCACCATTCACGTGTCTCACGCTCAGTTCTAAGAAACCATTCTTTAGATTAAGGGCCACAAATGAGCAGGAGTTCTGGCGGTCTTGCGCCAAAAATAACAAACTGTTCTCGTCAAAACTCGCGAAGGAGATCTTGAAAGTCAGTTCTGTACGACTTAACTTTGAAAAATCCAGATCCTTCTCTAATACTTCTCTATAGCCGTTGCCATTGAAAAATACATCTACTAAACCATCGTTGTTCGCGGTGGTTCTGAAACAAGAAACTGCTACGTGACAGTAATTAGTGATGATAAAAATTCTGCTACCTATAACATCCAGAACAATTGTCTTGAGTACCCGTGACGGGATGAAACTTCCATAAACCTATCGTCTGCCCGTTTATCTTGATTTTCCGTAGACACGCTTCCTTGGAAGTTTCGTTCAGGTTACCCACTTGTAACGGATACTTACTGTCGATCCTAAACGGTCTATCCGTCGTTATCTCTTTAGTTTCTTCTCCTACAATTCGGATTTTCGAAGCGACTCTAAAACGAAGCGAAATATTTAAAATTGTGTTTTATTATTATTTGCGATAACGTACTTTGTAAGCGAAATAGTGTTGTTTGCGGCCACATGAACCTCTTGATTTTTCCATTCAACCACTATGCTATTATTTTTGTAACGAATTTTTAGTTCTTCGTGATCAGAATTCTTCAAGTAAAAAAGCAAGCAAGAATCACATTTGAAACTGATTTCTAGATATCTCAAGATGTCATCGTTTAATTTATAAAATCGTTGGCATTTTGTTATATTAACACCATATTCAATCTGAAAATAGGAACACAACATGAAAGGATACAGATTATTTTAGTTTTTACCCCTTCGACTCTTTCATTTGCGTACTGAATAACATTACTTAATTGTTTAATTTGAACGTGTAATTCCTTCGTACTGTTCTTGTTTAAATTAGTAACGTTGTCCAATCGAGTAAAGCTAGAAGTATCTAAAATGTCCAGCTCTCTTCGAGTTTCGTTGATTCTTGCTTTAAGGTTCTTAACCTCTGAAAAATTTGGAAAATGCAATAAACTTCCTACACGATGATACCTTGACTGCTTACCAGATCCCGACAATAGCTGTAAATAATTTACGAATGTTTTGTTCAAGTCATATTGAAAAGTAATATTTAGATCACGTAGTCGGTTTTCAATAGACATGATTACCGAAGAAATGTTTCGCGCATTGTCTTCAGCTTTCTTTAATTCGGTTATTTTCTTAGAGTGCTCATTGATGTTTCTGAGGATGTTACGCAGGTATAGATTCAAATCATTGTTACTTTTCCCATTCATTAAAATGTTGTGTTTCAGGTTTTCCAACTGGTCGCTGCTGTTCTTGAAATCTACAAATTTGATGTCAAAAAAAAAAAATCGACCTGTATTTTTATATACCTTCAGTGAGGTTTTCTAAGTTAATAACTCTTTTCTGAATTCGATCGGAAAACGCTTTCGCAAGATCAGTTTGGACTAGTAAAGAATCTTGGTCTGACGGATAGAGCTCATGGAGAGCTTGAAGTGTAATATTTCCTGCCCTTTCTGCTTCTTTTCGAGCACGCTCTACTCCCTTGACAATGGTATCGTAGGCGCTACTAGCGTCAATCTTGGTCCACTCGTCGGGAGTGAAGTTAAATATATCTTTGTAAGTTTTTATTTTGTTTTGCAAATCTCTGACATGCTCGCGAACTGTCGACAACGTGCCGTAGACTTCGTCCAGATCGTTTTTGTCAAGATCCATTGCCACATTCTCGAGATCTACTTCAGATAACAAGTTGTGAATTTTATTCGCGTCTTTTAATACAGCGTTAGTTGCACTTATTCTGCTCAAAAGATCTGTAAGATTTTCCCTGATTATTTCCTCTGTCGTATCCAGTTTTATAATCTTGTGTCTCAAGATCTCGATTTGCTGCGAGTTTTTTTTATTTTTCATTTTCGTAAGGCTGTTAGTTGAATCAATGCGTTTTAGTTCGTCATTTAGTTGCGCAATTTTTGTCTTCAGATCACCTATCTTCGTTTTAATTTTGGCAGAATCTGGCCCACCTTTGTAAATCACATTAACATCCGCATTAAATCTTTGACACTTGTCAAAGAAATTTTGGTAAGAGTGAGTCGTCTTGGTTTCATTTGCAATGCTGATGATGTCATTTAATAATTCGTTGGCTTCGTGCAAAGCTTCGTTTACGTCGATCTGTGATTTGCCGAATTTATCGATATTTTGGATCAAATCGTCGACAGCGTTTTCCAAATTTTTAACGACGTTCGAGTTGTTGAGAGCTTCTGATTGTAACTTATCAATCAGTTGTGTTTGCATATTTAAGTTTTTATTTTGCTGAAGTAAACCATCCTTCATGATTCGAATGCGTCCTTCGATTCCTGAAATATTCGCTTTTTGAATGAAGTTTTGAGCTTTTTGCACATCGTTAAAATTATCATTCAACAAATCGTATCGACTGACGGTGGCATTCAAAAAAGCCCAGGGCGGTCCCAAACCGTCTTTAAAAAGGTCGAGGGTGTTCTTGAGACTTTCGGAGAGATCATCTAAAGTGTAGAACAGTATTTGTGTACATTCGTCGCAAGCTAAAACAACAGAAATGAAGATTTTCGTTAAAAATGGTTACGAAAGCTCACGAATGCATATGCCGTCTTGTATAATTTCTCTAGGACTTGAACATTTGGAACACTTTTCTCCAGCAAAACCGGGTTTGCAACGGCAAGTTCCGGTCGATTTTTCACAACGTAAAGTTTCACTGCCATAAGGATTACAATTACATGGACTACACGAACCACCACTATCTTCAGGAATTCCCCAATATGTATCGTCACATTTGTTGCAGTTCTTCCCAGAATAGCCAACTTTGCAAGAACAGTTAAACTGCTTGCTTCGTTGTCCAAAAACAGTACAGTTGTGGGCAAAATTCTGTCGTTCGGAAGGACATAAGCAAGGCGAGCAGTTGTTTAAATAGTCCTTGTAGTAACCTTCCGCACACGAATCGCACTGAGGTCCTGTTGTAAAATTCTGACAATTCTGAAAGATTTACGTTAGAAATGTAATGTATTTTGGAGAAAGGAATTACCAAACAATGACCCGTTTCCCTCTCGCAATCGTTGGACCTGCTGTTGCATTGACATCTCTTTGCCACCCCTAAAATTCTGTCTACGAAATTATATTTCGATTCGGACTCGTTCGGGAAGTGTCTGTAGAAACCCTTGTTCGGGTCTTGACATGACGATGAAGTGTATTCTTCTGGACAAGTGCAGTTTTCGACGGTCTTGGCCTGAGGTATACCCATCATTGTCGACATTTTATCTAGGAGGATTTCACTAAATCTGAAATAATCATTGTAAGAAACGCCCTTAGAAGTTGGCAAGCTCGTAATATTTCTCACAGCAAATTGGATTCTCTCGCCCGAGATTCGATTTGAATTTTAGACACGTTTTGTAAAACGACCATCAGGCAGGTCCTTGTCAACTGTTGTAGGCAATCTCTCGGAATTTCAACTGGAGGAGACCGATATTCGTATTTCAGTTTCCAGTATGTTTCTGTTAATTTTATGTCTCCCCCGCGGTCCGTTACACTTTCCAACGTGATGTTGTTGCCAGTTAGATATACAGAACTTCGCGGTGAATTTGAGGAAATCCGTAAGTACCCTCCATACGATTGAATGAGATCACCAGTAAATTTTGTGGGAAGAATCCAACAGTTTCTTCCATTCACCTAAATTGTTGCTCCTGGTATCAACGGTCGATCACAAAGTTTTGGACTTACGCATTCGTAGGGTTCTATTTTTCTAACATTGGTTGTTCTGATTTGGTTCCATGCACGATTAGACGCGGAACACGTGGTCGATCTGTTTGAACAAAAACAGGATATACATCCTTGAGGATGATCTGCGTCTATTCCGAAGGTTCCTTTCTTACATTTATCGCAATTCCAGCCTTCAACATTCAACTACGACAAAAAGCAGAAAATTCATATAGGTATTTCTCAAGTGATAATTGGGAAATCATACCTTACATCTACATCCTTTCAACGAACACTTACAAACACCGTGACTGCAGTCTTCCGGTAAAGTACCTGGCACAGAACATTTACACGTTCGGCAGTTTGGGTAGTCGTAGTAACCAAATGAACATTTGTCGCACTTTTCGCCTTCAAATCCAAGTTTGCAGGTACATCTGCCAGTTACGTTGTGACATTGCGATGTCGAGCGTCCGGGACTTGAACACCCACAAGGCTGCAATAGGTATTACTATTCAAATAAAAAAAGCCTTGCAAGCAAGAACGATGAGGTGTATTAGAAACTGTCTTTCTCAAAAATTCGTGTAAAACTGCATGCGTAGTACTCTTATCAGAAGAATTCAAAACTGTACGTGCAAAACGGCAAACTAAATAGTTTTGGCTAATTCAAACTGTTCGCACAACAATAACAAATTTTACTTATAATTATTTCCTTAGATAATAGGTAAAATGTTTGTAGTTGTAGGCCTGATTTAAGCTGTGTTTAAATTGGCTGTTAAAATTTTACGGTCCTAAGTCAAAAATAGTCCAATACCGATTTTTGTTCTGTAATATTCAAAAATATATTTTTGTTCTACACTTTATTTGCATAAACTTCTACCGGAATCACTGTTTCTGCTAAGTATAGATGTTTACTTACTTTACATCCTATTCCTGGTTCATGTCCCCAAGCGTTTGCGACGCACAGTTCGCATTTTCGTCCTACACTTAAATTAGGGCAAACACATTTTCCATTTTCGGGATGACAAATGTGGCCTTCTTTTTCACAAGGATCGCATGCTGTAAAAGCAGCTTTGGTGGAAGCCTCGACAAAATTATACATACATTTCGTACCTTTACATCCTGCCGTTACATTGCCGTAATGTTTCTCTTGACAGGAGTCGCATTTTTGTCCTGTCACTCCAAGTTTACAGTGACAAGCGCCCGTTTCTGCATCACAGTTTCTGCTTGTGGAACCGTTGCTATTGCAATTACATGGCGCGCACACGGATTTTAACTTATAATATCCAACCTTGGAATATGTGACGATAAGTACATTAATAATACATAATCATATACTGAGTAAGTAAAAGAACACCAAGAAGGAATCATGGAAAGACTTTTTTTCTTAAAACTACTGGACAGATAACATTAAATCATATAATATACTATTAAGACAACTCTTAGCTTGTAAATAAAATTTGATTACAAAATCATGATTCCTTGTTGCTGTTCTTTTATTTTTGTCACTCCATATTATAATAATATTGTTTTTAAATGTTGTAGAAGCTTACCTCGCACCGATCGCATTTAGCACCTTCATAATGTGGTTTACAAATACATTTTCCTGTATTTTGATCACAGGCTTGAATTTTCGAACCTTGTTTATCGCAGTTGCATTCTAAAAGGGAAAATAATTTTTATAACGATGCTTCCTATGTTTTTACTTAGTTGGTCAATTCTAAAAGATGGTATGCACGGCCGACTGTTTTTAGTGCGGTACTTAATAAAAAACACGAACAAAAAAATTGGTCCAAAGTTATTTCACCAGAACTTCCTTCGCTCCTAAAATACAATAAAACAAATCCAACTTTTTCGAAAAAGCATACAATTTGATTATGCGAATTTTATTTTTTCTTAATGAGAACCCTTATAAGTTAAAATAAAGATATGTATGTAATGTTAAAGTAAACGTAAAGAAGCGTGCTAAGCGTACGTACGTTTCAAATGAATTTTCCCTTAACAAAATTTTGTGATGACGTAGGATAAGTGCAGGGTAATAATGATAACAGTAATATATTCCCAATATCCACAATGATACATAATAATATGTCCTTGCCAAAAAGTTGATGACGTCATCACAACATTTATTACGAGGAACTTGTTTGAAAGTTTAAGAATCCCCACATATCTTTATTTTAATTTATACAGGTTACCACACAAAAATAATTAAAATTAGCAACGTCAAATTTTATAGCTTATCTAAGAAATTGGATTTGTGGGAACTTTTGTCGAAATAACTTTGGATTATTTTTTTTATGTTTTAGAATTTCGCACCTCTAACGACGAAAATATACCCCTCTTAATATTTAATTAACTGCCACTGGCGCACAACTATCTTTATTCAAACTGAAGGTCGAAATTATAATCTTTCGAAGAAAACGTGTAGCAGGTATTATCCTTCTATTCATTTTGCTTGATGTATTATTTTGAAAGACTAGGCAACATGATGTATATATAATATATATTGTGTTGATTGCCGCCTATATAACTGTTTGTTACATGTATTCCGACCTTGCTTTGGTCATTCTATTCAACCCACATTCCAAGTGAATTCTGACAATTTGATTCAAACGAAAGTCGACAGAAAAAATTCAATAATTGCCGGTTGTTAAAACGGCTTTACAGAAATAAAAAATAAGTGCAGCATTTCTCATCGCGCTCTCAAATTTGAGATAATGGACGCCTTTTACCGTCCCGAAATGGAAAATAATGCCGTTACATACCTTTAATAAACGCTATGGTTACACCTCTTCAGAAATTTACTAAAAAGAAATTTAAAATTGTAAATCTGAAAAAAAAAAATGAAAATCTTATTAGTTTTATTTCTGGAAAAGGCAGTTTATAACAACCTAGATGTCTTTGTACATTGACATTATCTTCGAGCTGAAAGCTATCAACAAATTCTAGTTCTTCCATTAATAGATTTTTGGGATAGTTAAGACGATTCTGTTGTTACATAAATAATAATATATCGTAAATACCGTGTGAATTTTATTTACAGTTGATAAGAAATTTAGGTCGACACAGAACCTTGATTGTGATGAAATGTACACATAAATATAAAAAATCATGTATACTGTAACCATATAGAGCGTCAACAAAATTTCCAAGTGTGAATGGTGTGTAAATAACTGATAGTGGCTCGTTTTTATGCCCACACTTAATGTAGTCTTTAGTCAAGTATTTCTCTTGTGGGAGAACTCGTTATTAAATTATAACTATAGATAGTAGCTACCTAATGCTTTCGTAACTGTTATCAAAACCATCCTAGGAACAAACATGTAAATTTTCGGATAGAACAAAATAATCTTTTAACACAAAAATTACTAGGACTATTAATTAATATTCAATCTAAATGCAACTTTTCTTTGCATATTATTACTTTCATGAATCATCGAATTTTCCTTTTTTGTTTTTATGGGAAATGAAATAATTTTATGTCAGTTTCGTTAGTTTGCCATTTCTGCGCTGTTCAAGTTATTAGATTTTATTTACATTCTGAAGCAACTTTTAACATTAATTTTTTTGTGTGGCCATGTGGTTAACGTTTTCCAAAGCTATGAATGTCACGTACGTTTTTTTTTTCAGAATAAGTAAGCTTTTTTTTCTAATTCGATGAATCACCCATTAATTAACACCAATTAAAACTGTTTTGTTGTGTCATTCAATATTGTGACAAGACAGAAATATACGATTTTGTTATCTTTTTCTCTAATTTTATTTAATTTTTCGAATTATTTACGGGGAGACAGTTATACTTTAAAAAATTGAGAGATTCGTCGATTTATGCATACAGTAAAAAATTTCGTCAATGAAATTTCAGCATTGAGAGACGTACATGTATTTACTTAACACGTAAGAATCAAACATTTTCTACTACGTACACGTTTAATCAACTAAATTGTGTTGCTCGAAAAATATAGCATTAACTCTAATATAAAATTAGAATTATTTTTTAATTAAAATGTTATCGTACACCATAAAATCCACCACTTTTAATGGCGATATTTCTGTAACAAAGCGACTTTTCTGAAATAACAAAAACCGTTTTAATTCGTTTTTACAAATGTAAGTTACGAAAGTACGTTAATCCAGTCATTTTATATCACCTTCTACAGTGTTGTAGTGTGTGTTCCGTTATTTTAGTTTGTCCTGTAAGTATTTAAAGCATTGTTGTTGTTCAGATTATTATCAGTTATCATGAATGTCTCATTTCATATTTGTTTGGTGTTTCACAATTTGTAGAATACGAAAGTGTTGGTAATAAATACGAGGAATCATTACTGAAGACCAAGTTCTAATATGCATGCAGAATTCCCTATGTTTGAATAGCGAAGCTAAATAACTTTCCTAAATGTTTTATTCAATTTTCCCCACAGTTTGCGGACACAGTGTGTGTATGTATAACATTGTATCACACAACTAACTGGGATAACATTAGTAGTCTGTTTTGTTGTTGTTTTTTGTACTAACTCAAAAATGGCATTTTTCCCAGCCCACAAATGAAATGTTCATTATACAGATAAAGGACAAACGCCACGTAATTACGTTTCATAGTCACAGTAAAGTAAAGTGAAATTTATTCGTACCAAAGTATAACAACTCTACACATGTCAGATATCACGATTAATATAAATTATAGTAATTCACATGCAGAATCAATAATAATTAGTCACAAAAATCAATGAGAAAAATAAAAATATATATTAATATCTAATTCTAATTTAGATTTTATATAAATAACTGCCGGAGCATCTTAATAACTAATCTATCAACATGACAACAAATACCTGCAGTTCTTTCATACTTGGATGGAGAAGAATGAACAATAAATGAATGACTTCATAATGTAATGAGGTTACTTTCTCTTTCGTGAACTTCGAACGTGTTATTTACTTTTTCATCTACTTATTTTAATTTTACTCTCAATTTTGACTCAAATTTCGTCACTGATTTATTTATAATTCATCTTATTAAAGAAATCCAATTTGCAGTTTTGAAATTAATTAATGGTAATACACACGAAATTTTTATGATTTTGTTGGTGAAACGTTTGTAAGAAAGATGTTTGTCTATTAGACGAAAAGTGCAAAAAAGAGGTAAAAAAAAGGCAGACATTTTCATAACACGACTGAGTGAACAACATTCATCATGTATTTTGCTGTTTGGGAAAGTATAAACGCAATTATTTTACTGCCTTTGGCATTTATTAGTTTACGGTTACTATAGCCAAATATGTGTGTGATGTGATTTATTACGTCTAAAAGACGGAAATATGTTTGGGGTGAGAAATGAAATTACAGTTTTTAATGAAAACAGTTAAACTCTCGTTCAGCCCGTGAAATTTGTTGCAGACGGGTGTCACAAACGCATACTTGATAACATTGACATGCTATCGTCATGAAAAATTAATAATTTATTGGAGAATCCACTCTGATATGTCTGCGGAATTAATTTTTCTGAGATACGTGATGTTCTGTTTAAATAACTTGAAACCAATGTTTCTTATTTAATTTAATACAAAAAAAAAAAAACTTAAACAAGAACCTTTTGGAGGCGGTGTGCTTCTCGCCGGGGCGAGAGTTTCTTGTGTCACAGGTCGAGATCCTCCACAACATCTTCTACAACTTGAAGTTGGACAGTAGCCGCAATAGTTTTTTCTACAAATCGTGTAATAACAGTTCGGTTGCACATAGTCCGGTTGATAATAATACTGTGCATAACGTCGGCACCTTTTTATTTTATTAAGTTTTCTCTCTTCGTTGTGCCTGCGGTGCCTAATTTTAATACTGTCGTTGGTCAAACCACCGTTACGCAATTGTAAAAATAGTTCCGTTTCTTGAACATGATCGTCGTAACTATTGTAAAAATTTCGCAAATAATTTACACGATAAGACCCCCTTTTTTGTACGCCTTGCACAACAACCGCAGAAACTACCACTACACTCACAGTTATTAAAACGTTAGTCCTCATTTTAAAAATAACACTGTTTTTTATTCGTTATATTTGAGGAGAAAATGAAGTGAATGCCATCACTGTCATCTCTGATAAGGCATTGGCGCGGTTTGACGAATGATTAAATTTTAGGAGGGTGTGTCGCCATACGCTTTCAAACAGATAGGTAAATTTTAACTATTTTATTAAATAGATAACATATTAGTTAAAAAATAAATAAATTCACTAGCACCGTCCGTGATAAATTGTTTATACATACTTTTTATTCTAATAGTATGCGATGTTCAAAGATTAGATGAATAATTAATTACAATTGGCAAACATTTACATAAATTAACTTTAGCGAATTGACATATCACTCATCACAAGTAATTAGGATGCCCGCTTGTGTATAAAACGGAAAAAAATCATCAACGATGGGCTGTATGCAAAGAACAGCGAATGCCGTAAAAGTTAAAAATATGGAAATTTCAAAAGAAGTAATGTTGTGTATTTTTCACTTTGGCAAAAACTGCGTTCGACGTGTGACGACAGTACATTAGACAGTTATTTTATTCGGTTCCCGAAATATTGCACTCAGTCGCACGTGTTGGTATTTGATTTAAGGTGAGGAGAGTGGCACAACTTGCACATGCTGCCGCAGCAACTCGCGAGGTTGAACT